GGTTGTGTGAGTTGCCAGGAAGGTTGTGTGAGTTGCCAGGAAGGTTGTGTGAGTCGCCAGGAAGGTTGTGTGAGTTTCCAGGAAGATTGTGTGAGTTGCCAGGAAGGTTGTGTGAGTCGCCAGGAAGGTTGTGTGAGTTGCCAGGAAGATTGTGTGAGTTGCCAGGAAGGTTGTGTGAGTCGCCAGGAAGGTTGTGTGAGTTGCCAGGAAGATTGTGTGAGTTGCCAGGAAGGTTGTGTGCATAGCAGGGAAGGTTGTGAGAGTTGCCAGGAAGATTGTGTGAGTTGCCAGGAAGATTGTGTGCGTTGCCAGGAAGGTTGTGTGAGTTGCCAGGAAGGTTGTGTGAGTCACCAGGAAGATTGTGTGAGTCGCCAGGAAGATTGTGTGAGTTGCCAGGAAGATTGTGTGAGTTGCCAGGAAGGTTGTGTGAGTTGCCAGGAAGGTTGTGTGAGTCACCAGGAAGATTGTGTGAGTCGCCAGGAAGATTGTGTGAGTTGCCAGGAAGATTGTGTGAGTTGCCAGGAAGGTTGTGTGAGTTGCCAGGAAGGTTGTGTGAGTTGCCAGGAAGGTTGTGCGAGTCGCCAGGAAGGTTGTGCGAGTTGCCAGGAAGATTGTGTGAGTTGCCAGGAAGGTTGTGTGAGTCGCCAGGAAGGTTGTGTGAGTTGCCAGGAAGATTGTGTGAGTTGCCAGGAAGGTTGTGTGAGTCGCCAGGAAGGTTGTGTGAGTTGCCAGGAAGGTTGTGTGCATAGCAGGGAAGGTTGTGTGCATAGCAGGGAAGGTTGTGAGAGTTGCCAGGAAGATTGTGTGAGTTGCCAGGAAGATTGTGTGCGTTGCCAGGAAGGTTGTGTGAGTTGCCAGGAAGGTTGTGTGAGTCGCCAGGAAGATTGTGTGAGTTGCCAGGAAGGTTGTGTGAGTTGCCAGGAAGATTGTGTGAGTTGCCAGGAAGGTTGTGTGAGTTGCCAGGAAGATTGTGTGAGTTGCCAGGAAGATTGAGTGAGTCGCTAGGCAGATTATGTGAGTCGCCAGGAAGATTGTGTGAGTCACCAGGAAGGTTGTGTGCGTCACCAGGAAGGTTGTGTGAGTCGCCAGGAAGGTTGTGTGAGTTGCCAGGAAGATTGTGTGAGTTGCCAGGAAGGTTGTGTGCATAGCAGGGAAGGTTGTGAGAGTTGCCAGGAAGATTGTGTGCGTTGCCAGGAAGGTTGTGTGAGTTGCCAGGAAGGTTGTGTGAGTCGCCAGGAAGATTTTGTGAGTTGCCAGGAAGGTTGTGTGAGTTGCCAGGAAGATTGTGTGAGTTGCCAGGAAGGTTGTGTGAGTTGCCAGGAAGATTGTGTGAGTTGCCAGGAAGATTGAGTGAGTCGCCAGGAAGATTATGTGAGTCGCCAGGAAGATTGTGTGAGTCACCAGGAAGGTTGTGTGCGTCACCAGGAAGGTTGTGTGCGTCACCAAGATGGTTGTGTGCGTCACCAGGAAGGTTGTGTGCGTCACCAGGAAGGTTGTGTGTGTCACCAAGATGGTTGTGTACGTCACCAGGAAGGTAGTGTGCGTCACCAAGATGGTTGTGTGCGTCACCAAGATGGTTGTGTGCGTCACCAGGAAGGTAGTGTGCGTCACCAGGATGGTTGTGTGAGTCACCTTGAAGAGTGTGTGAGTCACCTTGAAGGTTGTGTGAGTCGACAGGATGGTTGTGTGCATCACCAGGAAGATTAAGTTGCCAGGAAGGTCAAGTGTGTCATCAGTAAGACGGTGACAGTGGGTCAGTACAATGTCCAAGAGAATGCCAGAAGTGATGGAGGTTTACAATTATTGTGACATCCCAGTCACTAGCACATCAAAGGTGACAATGGGACCCTACCTGGATTCGAACTCACAGCGTATGGGTCCTGAACCTAGTTGTGCCAACACTGGACCACCCATGTTCCTCACCGAGATAAACACAAGAAAATATGGACTGTTGAATTGTTTCTTAGGATGGGAAACTATAGACTACTTACAGATTGGTCTTACCTGTTGGTCAGGGGACGCTTTCTAGAGAACATGGTACATTCTTTCCGTCACAATTGGGTATATCATTTTACTCTATGAAGAAACCACAAAGTGACATGAGTTAAAGAAAAGCATCAGATGTTAAATTTTTTAAATGATTGAAATGTCCCTATTAGTCAGACAGTGGAGTAGGGATTATTAAGGTCAACACCCATATCTAAATGGGACTGTCCCAAACTAGACTCGGTTGATTTATTAAATTAAGTAAGTAGGGTATAGGTGGGAAGTCTTTTATTATTTGTAGATCTATGTATGACAGCATCATTGTGAGTTGGGTTTAACGCCGCTTTTAACAGTATTCCAGTTATATCGAGGCGTGTCAGCTTCAACTGGGAGGAAAGCCCAAAGTGACGCAGATCTCAGACATTTACCACTTCGGTGAAACCGACAAGCACGGGTATGGTGCTGACAAATCTAGAAACATAATTGGGGTGAACCGGGATTTGAACCCACAATCAAAGGTTTCTGCCGGCCCAAGGGACGCAATGCTGGACAGCGAATTGGGGCGCCTTAGACAGCTGGGTCACCCGTGCCCCCTTATGACATCAAGGCTTGTGTAAAATATTTTATTTAATCATCCTTGAAGAAGCTGTACATTATGTCGATATCTCATAAAAGAAACAAGCATGAAATACTCACATCCCCCGCCAATATGACATGTCCAGTTGTGTGCAATGCATTAGCTCCTGTGAACTATGCTCACTGGACCTTTTAGTAATCTTAGTACATGTAGTCTTGTTTTGCCATCTGCAGATTATGATAGAATATGTAACTGTATTTGTAATGAGTAAGGATGAGACATATGGACAAACAACTTCTTTATTACAATTAGGAGCAATGGTTTCAGTGTAGGTTCTAACACCGTTATCAAGCAAGTGAAGTACAGAGTATGGTTGACAAGAATATATGGTGTTTATACAGTTGAGTAGGTTTAAGATCAGTAACACTGTTGTATTTGTAATGAGTTGTGTTTCTGCATGAAGTTAGTCAGTTAATGCAACAACTGTGTCCATGACACTTTTGGAGGAACATACACTCAAGCAATCCAGAACTTACCAACAAGAAAAGGAAATTTATTCAATACTGTGAGATGACATAATGTGCCAAGTTTGGTTGCCATTGAAACTCGAAAAAATTATTATTTTTAAATCACAAACTATCACACCAGTTCACCACTAGACCTATCTATGTGCCAAGTATGGTGAAGAAATATGATACGGTTTTCAAGATCTGCTCTGGAAACGAGGACTACCACCATTTTCAGTCTAAATCAAAGTTGTTGCCATGGAAACTCAAAAAATTTTTTTTTTTTAAATCCCAAACTATCAAAAGGCATCAGTTCACCACTAGATCTATCTATGTGCCAAGTTTTGTGAAGAAATATGGTACGGTTTCAAGATCTGCTCCGGAAACGAGGACTACCGCCATTTTCAGTCTAAATCAAAGCCGTTGCCATGGAAACTCAAAAAATTTTTTTTTTTAAAATCCCAAACTATCAAAAGGCACCAGTTCACAACTAGACCTATCTATGTGCCAAGTTTGGTGAAGAAATATGGTACGGTTTTCAAGATCTGCTCCGGAAACGAAATGTGACGGACAGGACAGCACCCATTCCTATATCCCCCTTCCACTTCGTGGCGGGGGATAATAAATGACTTGTGGTCGTTGTTTATCATACAATAAAACTCTGCAGGGAGGATAAAGTGGCTTATTCTCCCTGCAGTCATTTATTTCTTAAGTATGGTTATATCTAGGGATTTTGCAAATAGTTTACAGAAAGCACTCTGTAAGAGATACTTTTATCTATAAATCTGAAGCTACCGAGTTTATTCTTGGCCAAAGGCACTTTTAAGAATACACTTACTAATTTATCTGAGAAAGCCTCAAAAGTATGTGATGCACGTTTGAACACAAACATCTTTTAAACTTTTTTTTATACATTCGATATTTTGGTAGCACCTGTAATAAATAATTGTAGTGGAAATTTGGGTGTGACATATTTCAGAAAAGTCTAGTCATTGACAATGAAATGTTCATTTTCTTAATATTCATATTAATGTGCCAAATCACATGGAATGTGGCTTAAAATGTGAAGGAATCAAGCTGTTTTTCTGTCACCAACTGTTGGACCAACCCATATAAATAAAGGTAATCTGTGCAATCAGTCACATAGTTTGTGGTTTCAAGCTGTCTGATGGGACATCTGACCAATGGGAGGGAGGACACCTTACAGCCCACACTTGCATACTTTACTGGGAGCATTTGTATGAACACACTAGTTAATTTTCTTCTGCATGTAGCCAATGAATTCACTAGCATGAGAAAGTACAGACTGCCTCAGTTTTCTTTGACACTTTTAACCCATCCCTTGAAAAAATGGGGAGCCGAGTTTGTCCACCATGTTGGTCAGGTGAATAAGTGTTAAGTGAAAAGTTGTTTCACTCATCAGTAACCATGTGTCTGGTATTCGTATTACAAGCATGGACGCTTGGGAAAGGGAGATAACTCTAGTATGGTGCACTTTGGACAGCAACTGATGAAGACAGATTGTGGAGTTGTTAGTGTTGACAGTGTACACATTTTATAGATATAGGGAGTGAGTTGGGTGTAAAGCCGCTTTTAACAGTATTCCAGTTATATCACTGCGTGTCAGCTTAATGTGGGAGGAAAGCCTGAAGTGATGCAGGTCTCAGATGTTTACCACTTCAGTGAAACCCACGAGCACGGGTATGGTGCTGACAAAACCTAGAAACACTCGGGGCGAACCAGGATTCGAACCCACAATCATAGGTTTCTGCAGTGCACAAGGGACGCAACTCTGCACAGTGAATTGCTGTGTCTTAGACTGGGCCACTCGTGCCCATTTTTTTTATATATAGATATAGACATCTCCTTGACAATTCTGATACAGGAATCCCGCCGTTGTAGCTCATGTGAAATAAGCAAGAAAACACAAATACGTTCTCCGACAGCTTTTATTTTTTCCCATGTACATAGTTTACACCGATTCGAGGACTGGTGGTTCATATCCCTCTGGCCGGGTCACTCCCTCGCCTCCCTCGGACGTCACGGGTTTGGAGGAGCCACCGCCACTACCCTCGCCATGGAGCTCCATGAGCTTGCCAACTGGAAAATACACATCCAGAGTTAGAGGGCAACACAAAGCTTCATTAACCACTTATTCAGAGGTAAAATATAGATTATTAATTTCCACAACACCAACTGCCTTCAAAGTCACTGGACACAAGGCAATTCTTCAACATGTTCAACGAGCTGTACCACTTTGTTGTAATACAATAAATAGTAGTGAGTGAGTGAATATGGTTTTACGCCAGTTTTAGCAATATTCCAGCAATATCACGGCGGGGGACACCAGAAATGGGCTTCACACATTGTACCCATGTCGGGAATCGACCCGGGTCTTCGGCGTGACGAGTGAACACTTTAACCACTAGGCTACCCGACCGCCCCTAATAAATAGTAATATGATATGATCTTCATGTTCACAGCAACATCAAAAAACGGTAACTTAGGGATATTTCTAGGGTGGGGATTTGTGCTCTTAGCCCCTTAATTTGAAAGAAAGGCCCACATTTTCAAATACAATTGGGCATTTTAACATTATGCTGTATGGGCAAGTGTGGATGTACCTCTGGAATATTTGAAATTTTCACATAAAGGACCCATGTTAGAAAATTCTTAAGAGTGAACCCTGGTTACTGATGCTGTACAAAATTGAGAGTTACGATTAGATGCATTCCATCATGGTAGATTTGAGTTAATTCACTTAACACTGGCTGATACCTCATGTACATAGCAACAGACTACTATTTCACAATTCATTTTCATACCATTTTACTCATATCAATAAATAACCCCACGATTCAATACATGGAACACGAGACATCAATGTTCAATAAATCATTACACCTCAATTATTTCACTCACATATACTCATGATGTGGTTTCTTTCATGGGCTGTGCAAAATATACAACTCAAAAGAAGTTAGGGATCACCTGGTTCTTTCATATTACAATAGTTAATCTCTCATGCCATGACAGATTAATATTACCAATATGAATGAATCGGGTGATCCTTAACTTCTTTTGAGTAGTATATATATACAGGGCTTACGTCTACATTTTAGGTTCGCAGATGTTCACATTCATAGAACATACCAGAACACGTATGTACACTGCTTCACATTTCCTGGATCCAATAATTCATTTGAATTTCACATTTCTGACCAACTATTAAATGACTTTCCCCAAGAACAAGAAAATATTATAAAAGAACCAACCATCAAACTTGGGCTTCTTGAGAACTTTGACCTTCCTGACGTAGACATCGTGGAGGGGGTAGATTCCCTGGCATGCCTTCTCAATGTCCTTGCCGATACTGTCGGGGATCCTGTTAATACACACAAACACAAGTGAGTGGACTTGGTGCAACACCATCACAGCAGTAGTAATGCTGCTTTACCCACACAATTGGCCAAACTGACCAATTGAAAGAGCTATTAATTTTACAAACATTTTGACACCCATTCCCATTTCACCGCTGATGCAGGCATATCCAGCATTATTCCAGCTATATATGGCGGCGGTCTGTACATAATCGAATCTGGAGCAGACAATCCAGCGATTGACATGAGCATCGATCCACACAATTGGGATACGATGACATGTATCAACCAAGTCAGCAAGTCTGACCACCCGATCCCATTAGTTGCGTCTTACGACAAGCATGGGTTGATGAAGACCCAGTGTTAGAAATTGGCACTAGTCATGTAGTCCTTGCCAAACTGCCCATTAGTTAAGGTATCATAAGGACTAGTAGAACTTTGCCATTTATGGGGGTTTTGCTTACTTGTTATCATTGTAAGGACTAGAGGACTAAAAGTGTTAAGTTTCTACCGCTGAAGACCTACTCTAACCTGGATCTTCACGGGTTTCCAGCTACATAAAAAGCTATACCTTTGCAGTCACTCCTAATTTAGGCCTCAGACAAAGATTCAGTGGGTTAGGCAAATCCTCAAGAAGTCATTCAGCGTGGTGCACGAATGTCATCACTGGCCAGGTGCAAGATGATGTAAAAATATGTTGCTGCAGTCAGTAATATTTCAGTCATATTAAAGCGACCTATAAATAACTGAGTGTGGACAAGGCAAATGAAAGGTTGCCAGCACAAGCACTGATCCACCCCCACTGGGGCGAGCCGCCATTCGCACAATTTAACCTCCCAAAGTTGATTTTTATTCCAAGCATATGGTTACTGGGAACCAGTCCTGTCCATTAATCTCCCACGGTAAGATACTTCGGTGGGAGTCATCAATACAACATTTAATCTCAAAATCAGCATTCCAACTTACAGCTTGTTTACAACTTCTTTCATGTCATTGGCGGTGATTTCTCGGCCAACGATCTCAAGCATCTTCTTGCGGATAGCTTTGATCTGGAACCAATACATGAAAAACTAATTTCACAAGTGCACCGACGTACCTCAAAACGGCTTCTCAAAACCAAGCAATTTTTTTACTACTTACAATGTTTAATGAAGTGATTCCAAATACTTATTTCCTGATGGTCAAAGTTATCAAGATAAGAAAACATATTTCATTAAGAACATACTTTCTGGATCAAACAGTACTTGTCCTTACGAACAATTTTCAACTCAATTCATCCCGTACAATATGGACTAGGGATAGCCGCAAAAGTGCTGATGCAGCACAAAACAATATTCACTGGCACAAACATAGCATACTAGACTGGAAGAAATCTTATCAGACAAGGGATTTGGCTAAGTGGTAAGATTGTAGATTGCAAAACAAGGAAGATGTTTTCCCACCACTCACCTGTGTGTGCTGGGCATAGCATGTCTTTTTCACTTGGTTGGCCCTCTTCTTGGTGAAACCAATGCAGAAAATCCTCAACAAGTAACCATCAGTTGTCTTCACATCCAGATGAGCCTCAATCAAAGTCTGAAACAGACAACAGTATGATAATCATAAATCAGGAAGACTAATCTATCAGCAACTTATCAAACTCAAAATATCAAAATACTTTGGAGTGAGTGAGTGAGTGAGTGAGTGAGTATGGTTTTACGCCGCTTTTAGCAATATTCCAGCAATATCGCGACGGGGACACCAGAAATGGGCTTCACACATTGTACCCATGTCGGGAATCAAACCCGGGTCTTCGGCGTGACTAGCTAACGCTTTAACCACTAGGCTACCTGACCGCCCAAAATACTTCGGAAGTTGGTTTTTCAATATTACTCTGCACACATGGAGCACATTTCCATGATTTTCACTAGTATAGCCATTGGTCACGGAGCTATTCGTCAGAAACCATGGTTTGTTGGAACAGGTCTCTTCACAACCCCCCTCCTCCCATGTTACTCACCTGCCATTTCTTCACCATGGAGCAGAGCTTGTCTCGTGTAAGATCCATGCCGTGGAAGTTAGTCAGGACATTACGGCCCTGAACATCTTCGGCAATCAGCTTGAATTTTCTAAAGGTCACCTCATCGTTCTGAAGGTCAGCTAAGGACACCTCAAACACACGACCCTTAAGTCCATCGGAGGCAATTTCTAAAACAAAATCATCAATATGATTAGCATGATTGAAAATAGTAAATTCTATCTATTCAAGAGCTGCAACATTGTGGGACAAGTTATGAAAAAACACAATTCTCAATATTTTCATATTTGTACTAATCTAATGGATTCATTAGACTTCTTAATTCAGAATTATATTTGGACACTAGTTTCCAATGTTCTAATGCAAATATATATCAGGATATATTTCCATGCATATTACAAGTCCATGTGATGCAGTGTCTGAACATTCTTGTAATCTGACCAAGGTCCATCATAGGAAACAGTAGCACAATCATGATAATCAGTTAGCAACTTTAAAAAGCCTCAGACAAAGATTCAGTGGGTTAGGCAAATCCTCAAGAAAGGTTCAGCGTGGTGCACGAATGTCATCACTGGCTATGAAGATGCTGACTGCAGGAGGGGTAACATGCCCATGTGCATGGTTTACAAATAAATGATTTACACAGATCGTCAGTCATGTTACACTTTCATTTTCTTCTCCCCTTTAAAGAATTGGTCTAACAATTCATAGTACTAGTCAGTTGACATAAGGCTGACGAAGTGTAATGACATTTAGTTTTACAAGGTAGATGCTCCTTGAAGTACATAACAATGGCCAAATTAATTGGAAATGGAGCAAGTCTCTTTTTAAAACATTATTCTCCCAGATCAATAGTTAACAGAAATGTAATACTGAATATAAATAAGCAAAATCATGAGGTACTGAAAGTGCTTCATACAGAGTTATTCTCTGGCATCAGATGAATCCATTTCAACATGTTCAATCCATAGACTAAGTTATGGCTATATAAATTCTGATTTACAGTATGCATCAAAATCTTATGGAACTACTCAAATGCTCATGTTTTTGAGGCCACAGCTAAAAGCATGTATCTTTAACATATTTAAAATGTTGAAAACATTCATTCATGGTTTGTACATATAATCTTGCTGGACCACTTCTCACTAAACAGAATTGCATATAATTTTAATAGGCAATCCAGATGCTGGAAGGCATATGCACTATAAAATGTATGATACAGTTTGGATCTGTATTGAATCTTCCATTTTAAGTGTTAAAAGATCAGGGGCCATATCATTTGGCATATGAAATCTCTTACCAGAAACATGCAAGCAAACATATTAGAGTGCAATAATCACAATTCACATTGATCACAATGTCAACCAAGGGCCTCAGACAAAGATTCAGTGGGTTAGGCAAATCCTCAAGAAGTCATTCAGCGTGGTGCACGAATGTCATCACTGGCCAGGAATAAAATAACTTCACACGAACATATCAAAACCTAAGAATTGGGTCAATTTCAAATAATTTTCACACACCTATTATACCTGATATTGCCTTTTACACTAGACATTAATGTGATAAACATGGAAAGTATTGAGAGTGAAAACTTTCATACTTGTTCCTTGTGTTCTTGTAACCAAGGTTTTGCCAATCTGGCGTACAGCAAACATAGAAGGGGCCTTCACATCATACCAGTCTTTCTTTGCGAAGGGATCAACTCTGGAAAGAAAAGCAAGGTCAGTTACAACAATGTACATGATGTAGGTTTAAACTTTGGCATAACTATGTCAAGTCTTTCCCTTTGATGATGGAATATGACAACATTAAGTCTTCCAGTTACATTATAACATGACTTCACTATCGAGATACAGTGTTGCAACAAACAGGGTTTGAGATCGGTCCATTATTTGGGACATTGACTGTCATCCAAAATGTTCTGAAGTGAGTGATTATGGTTTTGCACCGCTTAAGCAAACTTCCTACAATATCATGGCAGAGAAACATAATGATATTGAAGAATATAGACGTTATATCAAATATCACAATAACATAAACGTCCTAATGCCATTTAGCTCTTGCAAAACACTGAAAAGATATTGTCTTTGCTTCTCCAAGATATTGGTGTACTTCCTCGACATAAAATCTGTAAATGCATACATACTCTGAAACAAATCGTAAACTAACAGTTGCATATATTGACTGGGACAGCCTGCAATATGACCACGAGTCTTATGCGGTACGAAAGAACCTTGTCTGCAGCACTTATTTTACCTAACATTGATGGCCAAATAATTAAATGAAATGATAAATCTCACGTTCTTTATTTCCACCCTGAACCCCCCAATTATCATAAAAGTCCAACAAAACTAACAATATTTCATTAACTTTTCCAATGCCAATTCATTGTTAACTTGATAGATTGGCCTTAGTCTGTAACGTGTGAAGTAGATGATTACAATTGACTTTTAATGAGATTCTGACAATCGTATCAATGTGCCATGGTTGGGTTTTTTATATTCGAACAGATATATCCACCCAGTTGATATTTCAAGACTCGCTAATGTTAAACGAAACTCATGTGCGATGTGAGGGGTACCGCCTCCAATCCACCAAAAGCGGGTATATAATGCAGACATCGCGGATTCATTATCATTTGATTTATTTATGAATGGTGGTGTTATTCAACAGATATAAAATCGCAAACGTACGCCTTCTTCTTGGCACCCTTTTTGCCTCCTTTAGTCAGTCGTTTATTTTTACCGACCGCCATGGTGGCCAAATGTTGTAAAGAGGAAGTTTAGAAAAGACCGAGAAGCATTGTGGGAAATAAAAATACTATTTGCCATGCACCAATCCACATATGTAAAGTCATCTTCAGTCGAACCCTGTATGTACTCGGGATGCTAAGATAATTAGTATCTTTCGTAATAATATCATGTGAAGAAACAGTTAACATATTCCTTTGCTATACAAAACACATTTGATTTTTTTCGTATTTTGACGACCAGGTCAACTCATATCCTACTCAGTGGTGACTCAAATCAAATATCGAATGTGATTAAGTGGGAGAATTTGTCTAAAAGACTTGTATCGGCCATTTTGTTGGAATCTCTATATAACATACAGATTCGTTTGTTTGTTGTTTTACGCCGTACTCAGCAATTTTCCAGCTATATGACGGACGTCTGTAAATACTCGAGTCTGGACCAGACAACCCAGTGATTGACATCATTAGCATCGATCAACGCATTTGGGATACGATGACATGCATCAACCAAGTCACCGAGCCTGACCACCCGATCCCGTTAGTTCTACCCCGGATCTTCACGGGTAATATTTATATACGATACAGAAATTGTATGCCTAAATAACGGCGCGAGAACGCAGTGAGAACTATTAATTCTTCCATGGGATTCCAAGCCAGAACCAAAATAACCGTCAGGGGCCCTGAAAGTAATTCTAACTCTATAATCCGCTTGAAGGCATCGCTGTTGATCCTGAAATAAAATCGATATGAACTTGGATTATCCAGTACTGGCTTTCCTGGATAAATTTGCAATTCCCCAGTTGAAGAATATTAAAATCATCATGAGAGGATTGGAATTGGATATATTATATGCGGTCCTACTATTTAACGTCCGGGGACAGATTATATATATCGTCTCAATCATATCAATATGAATCACCAGCCATCCTGGTTGGTTTGTTATGGCTGAGAATTTGTGGACAGTCCCAACTCGTAGACGCATAGTCAAAACAAAACAAAACAAAACAAAACAAATAAAATTGGGAAACAGATTAAATATGGAGCTATTACATATACATATTGAATTATTATATGGCAATCTTATTTCAAATCTTAAATTTTAAATGACAATTAATATTTCATGCAGTATGACCTAACGCCATGATCCAACGATATATTTCTTATATTTTACCAGCGATCAAAGGACCCTGCAAATCTTCCCAAAACAAGGATATTATATACATAATATTAATTATCATCATTCAGTTGCAATATGAAAAATGGAATGTGTCTACGAATTCCCCCGGTTTGTCTACGAGTTCTCTGTAAAATTCACCACATCCCGTTTGTTACTGTCAATTGATTCGTGTTGATATATCAAATATTTCCCCCTTTACCAGATGTAAGCATGCAACTTCCTTTAAAGTATTAATGATGCAAAAGTGCAAGTTTTGAAAAGAAAGGTTCAAAGAAATAAGTCATTGTGAACGAAAATAGATATTAAATGTTGAAACTGATGGTATATATACTGTTGTATTCAATTCTGTGTATTTTCCATATCGTAAAAGCATATTTGCAGTTTTAAAATAAATAGTATGTCAAATCAATATCAGACAAGTATCTATTTGAAATAGTTTTAACGTAAGGCGTATTTCGAGCCGGTAAGACGCTGTAAACTAGTTCTCCGTACGTGTGTCTGCGAAGGTTTGCGCAACAACGACCGAGCATTTACTGAACCAGGGACCCAGTCAATTTCCGAGCTGGTTGAGTTGATCTGTGAAGTTGTCAAATCGTTTTTGCAGAAGACACAATTATGTCCGGAAACCAAGGTTACCCAGAGCATATAGAGCATATGCCAAGGTTGCCAGAATACGAATATCCACCCCCTTGGATACCATACGCAGAGGTGCGAAAGGCGACGAAAATCTACTGTTCACTTTTCGATCAGCAAGAAATATAAATCCTCATAATGCTGAATACCGTTGGACTTAATAATTTTTTGTAAACACAGCTTGATTTTGGGGAAGTTACAGAAACGTTTGACTAAAACAGTGATGTATTCCAGATAGCTCTTGTCCTTTGTTTCAGCTGGAAGGATTTGCCAGTCATGTCAAAACACATTTTTTTCCATTTATTTATTTTCCTTTAATTTTATACTGGCGAACTTGGCTTTCAGATGTTGGGTGTGCTCACTAAATACATTGTGGGGAATATTATAACTGTACGAAATCAAAAACACTTTCCTGAGAAACGAACTAGATCTAGATCCTTGACTGACACAGCTTCCACATCAATATACACATGTAATGTTCATTTCAAGAAGTGATAATTTAGTACCATCTAATCTGCAAGTTCTGAGTCCCTGTGAATTGTAATGAATGATGCATTTGAGCTTGTTGACCGATGTAGGTTTGGGGTATGTTATGAGGTTGAGATGTGACAGAGATATATGGGTTGGAGATATGTGACTGGAATGCTCTGTGGCATCAATGTTGAAATAGTTGAAGTGGGATAGCCTAGTGGTTAAAGTGTTCGCTCATGATGCTAAAGACCTGGGTTCGAATCCCTACATGGCTCCAAAATGTGAAGCCCATTTTTGGTGTACCCTGCCATGATATTTCTGGAATTTTGCTAAAGTGGTGTAAAACCATACTCACAAACTCCAATGTTGGCATAATCATTTACTTCAACTCCCAGTGTGTGTGTGTGTGGCCCGTGAAAAAACAAACAAACACTGTCTGTGTGTGATATTGATACTGAGGAATGATCTGTTGACAGCGGATGGACCACCCAGACTACAACACTGACCACAGACAGTTCCTCCCGAGGAAGATTCAGCTGATCCGAGAACGAGCATCTGAGGCGGTCAGTACTCCTTTTTACATACAGTCCTAGAGCTTCCTCAGACTTACGGTGGGCACGGCTGGCCCAGTCGTCTAAGGCGCTGCGATTTGCTGTGCAGAGTTGCGTCCCTCGGGCACACCAGAAACCTATGATTGTGGGTTCGAATCCCGATTAGCTCCGATTATGTTTCTAGGTTTGTCAGCACCATACCCGTGCTCAAGGGTTTCACCGAAGTGGTAAACATCTGAGACCTGCATCCCTTTGGGCTTTCCTCCCACATTAAGCTGACACGCCGTGATATAACTGGAATACTGTTAAAAGCGGCGTTAAACCCAACTCACTCACTCACTCACTCCTCAGACTTATGACAATCATAGTCCTGAGATCCCTTTGTTAGAAGGGGCTGTGGAGTCTACACATGTAGTGATATATTCCAGATAGCTCTTGTCCTTTGTTTCAGCTGGGCTTCAACATCCGAGGTGGCCGGGAACACTACTGTGGAGTCTATGTGTCTAAGGTGGGTCAGATCCTGTTGGGATCCTGGGTATTGTTAACATATAGGAAATAAAACCCAGGGATTTCTCTCTCTCCGTTACATACACAAGTGCCTCCGTGAAGCCCTGGGTTAGAATTGGTGAAGACCCATGCTTGTCATAAGAGGCAACTAACGGGATCGGGTGGTCAGGCTCACTGACTTGGTTGATGCATGTCATCGTATCCCAATTACATAGATCTATGCTCATGATGTCCATCACAAGATTATCTGGTCCAGACTCGATTTTTCAGGCCATCGTCATATAGCTGGAATTTTGCTGAGTGTGGTGTTAAACAACAAACAAACAAAACCTGCACACATGGATTTCTATTAGCCAAGGGTACAAAATCATACAGAAATTTCATGGAGTAAGTCATGCATTTGAGAAACATTTGATAGTTTGATACTAAAGGAACCTACATTTTGTAATTTCAAGACTAGCTTTTTATTTTGGTTATTCTTTTGTTCTGTTACATTTTCCCTGGCAAATGCTTATGCCTTTGTGAGAGTTACCTCCCCTACATGAAGGTGTTGGTGTATAAGAAGGAACATGTCTCTTCACTGAGGCAGGGGGCACGGGTGGCCCAGTCGTCTAAGGCGCCACGATTCGCTGTGCAGAGTTGCGTCCCTTGGGCACGCCAGAAGCTGACATGCTGTGATAAAACTGGAATACTGTTAAAAGCGGTGTTAAACCCAACTCACTCACTCACTCATTTCAATGAGGCTGTGAACCATCAGTTTGATGTAAAATATGATTTTCTTTGATATGCCCCATCCAGAAATTAAGATTTCTGAGCACTAAACAAACTGAATGTTACCTGTGAAGAAATGTACCTCCCTTCCTAGGAGAGCGAATATAGATAGTTGCACTATATATGCACTTACATATATCATCCTTCCCCTGAAAATCCTGGTCAGAAGAGGTCTTCAGCAACCCGTACTTGACATAAACGGTCACTATGCTTGTTGTTGGAAGAGACTAACAGGATGGGGTGGTCAGACTCGCTGACTTGTTTGATGCATGTCATCATATCCCAATTAGGTTGGTCAATGCTCATGATGTCAGTCACTGGATTGTCTGGTCCAGACTCGATTATTTACAGAATGACATCATACAGCTGGGATATTGCTGAGTGCGGCATTAACCAACCAACAAACAAACTTACATATCATCCAGGGGCAGACACCATTGGTCATATCCATCTAGTTCGCAGCTCATTTTGGTCCAGTGGCTATGCAAAATGGAGAAAACAACCAGATCCTCTAGATTTATTTGTCTCAGACTCATGGACTGGTGGCCATGTCCATCCCTGTCATCCCGTTCACTGCCAAATCAATACAGAAAAGATTCATGTCATTTTAAAAAAAATATTATTGTGTAAAAGATAGGTTTGATATGGGTTTCAATGAAAGTGTTGCCATGGAGCATGTACCGGATGTTGTTTTGTCTGCAGGTCATGCCAAACAGTGAAGCGGACCGTCTGGGACTCAAGGAGGCAGATCAGGTGAGAGTTATGTACCTTTGATCTTTCATTATGGTTTCTGCTAAATGTTTAGGTGAATGATAAAAATCCTTATGCCATGTACATATGCTACTCACCATTTGGTAAGGATCTTTGACTAAAGATGATTATTTTGTTCCTTAGCAAATGTTGAGTAGTATATGATGTATGCAGTTCATATTTAACTATCAGGGTGGTCGGGTAGCCTAGTGGTTAAAGCATTTGCTTGTCATTTGCATGAAGCCCATTTATGGTGTCCCTTGCCGGGATTTTCCCTGAATATTGCTAATAAAGCAGCGTAAAACCATACTCACTCACTGACTCACTCATTTTTAACTATCAATATGTTTATTGACTTTCAAGTTTTTCGGGCGGTTGGGTAGCCTAGTGGTTAAAGCGTTCGTTCGTCACGCCGAAGACCCGGGTTCGATTCCCGACATGGGTACAATGTGTGAAGCCCATTTCTGGTGTCCCCCGATGTGAATTTGCTGGAATATTGCTAAAAGCAGCGTAAAACCATACTCACTCACTCATTCAAGTTTTCAGATGACAGGTCCCATGTTTAAAAATATCTATGTGAATCTTTCAGATTTTGTTGGTGAATGATATTGACTTTGAAAGTATTGACCACAGTGAGGTAAGTTATAAGCATCATTGGATGTTTCCATAGTCTCAATGTCAGTACTGTTTTTTCGTTTGTTTGTAGTTTAACGCCGCACTCAGCATTATTCCAGCTCTATTACGGCGGTCTGTAAATAATCGATTCTGGAACAGACAATCTAGTGATTGACATTATGAGCATCGATCCACGCAATTGGAATACGATGACATGCATCAACCAAGTCAGCAACCACCTGATCCCATTAGTCACCTCTTACAACAAGCATAGTCACCTTTTATGGCAAGAATGGGTTGCTGAAGACCTACTCTACCCCGGATCTTCACGGGTCCAATGTCAGTAGCAACAGCCCATGACAAAATTTGATTGATGATTCCTGTGCTTTCCTGACTGAAGAAACTAAACTAACTGTGTGTGCTGCTAACTCCTACTGCTGTGTATGATTTCATAAAACATAATGTGGATGAGTCTGACTAGAAAAACTTAACGAAGACTGGTGGTTTATATCAACTAGATTCAAGGAGAGCTTCTAGGCCGACTAGACTGGTGGTTTATATCAACTAGATTCTAGAGCTTCTAGGCCGACTAGACTGGTGGTTTATATCAACTAGATTCTAGAGTTTCTAGGCCGACTAGACTGGTGGAGAAATGGCTGTATTGTACCTGTGGTGCACCAAGCAGAACATGCCTGGTCCATGAACAGTTAAATGTGCATTAGGTTTACTCTCATTTATGAATGTCGCATTAGGTTCAGTTCCAGTGTTGACTATTACCGTATTCGACGTAATAAGCGTCATGCTCTAATAAGCGGCGACGGCGATATTTGCTAATATATTGGCTAGTGAACAATCTCAATTAGCACCCCTTCCAATTGATTAATGTACACAAGATTTATTTATTTGTGTATAACACGCACTCGTATAATATATGCACCCTTAATTATGGGCAATTAAATCCTGGAAAAATATATCTGTCGTATATAAACATTTCAGGCTGTCAGCATAAACCACGAAATTTACGATCTTTCAACTCAAAATAATATTCTAATAAGAGACCCCTATTTCTAATTTTGAGAGCGCCCCAGGCGCTTATTATGTCGAATACGGTTAGCTTACCGTTGAATGTTGCAGTAGGTTCAGTTCCAGTGTTGAATGTGGCAATAGGTTCAGTTCCAGTGTTGAATGTGGTAATAGGTTCAGTTCCAGTGTTGAATGTGGCAATAGGTTCAGTTCCAGTGTTGAATGTGGCATTAGGTTCAGTTCGAGTGTTGAATGTGGCATTAGTTTTACTTCCAGTGTTGAATGTGGCAATAGGTTCGGTTCCAGTGTTGATTGTGGCAATAGGTTCAGTTCCAGTGTTGAATGTGACATTAGTTTTACTTCCAGTGTTGAATGTGGCAATAGGTTCAGTTCCAGTGTTGAATGTGGCAATATGTTCAGTTCCAGTGTAGAATGTGGCATTAGTTTTACTTCCAGTGTTGAAGGTTGCATACCCAAACCTGGTTGTTTTGTTAATGTGAATTGGAAATGGAAACTATAAGTTAGTTAGTATTTTATGAAGAACTAAAGCCTTTCAAGATTTTATACCTTTTAGTTATGTATTTTTCTTTCCTTACAGGCTGTGAAGATTCTCAAGATAAACACCAACATTCACATGGTTGTGAGATATTTCCCTTATGGTGAGTAACAGTTTCACCACTCTCCTACACTTGGTGGTGAGATATTTTGTGTTTGGTGAGTAACAGTTTCACCAGTCTGCACATGGTGGTGAGATATTTCCCATATAGCAAATAAGTTTCACCAGTCTACGCATGGTGGTGAGAAATGTCCTGTAAGTTGTATAACCGTTTCAACAATTTATACATGGTGGTGAGATATTTCCCATATGGAGAATTACAGTTTCCCCACTCTACACATGGTGGTGAGATATTTCCCACATGTTAAGTAACAGTTTCACCACTCTACTCATGGTGGTGAGATATTTCCCACATGTTGATTAACAGTTTCACCACTCTACACATGGTGGTGAGATATTTCCCACATGTTGAGTAACAGTTTCCCCACTCTACACATGGTGGTGAGATATTTCCCACATGTTGAGGAACAGTTTCCCCACTCTACACATGGTGGTGAGATATTTCCCACATGTTGAGTAACAGTTTCACCACTCTACACATGGTGGTGAGATATTTCCCACATGTTGAGTAACAGTTTCACCACTCTACACATGGTGGTGAGATATTTCCCACATGTTAAGTAACAGTTTCACCACTCTACTCATGGTGGTGAGATATTTCCCACATGTTGATTAACAGTTTCACCACTCTACACATGGTGGTGAGATATTTCCCACATGTTGAGTAACAGTTTCCCCACTCTACACATGGTGGTGAGATATTTCCCACAAGTTGAGTAACAGTTTCCCCACTCTACACATGGTGGTGAGATATTTCCCACATGTTGAGTAACAGTTTCACCACTCTACACATGGTGGTGAGATATTTCCCACATGTTGATTAACAGTTTCACCACTCTACACATGGTGGTGAGATATTTCCCACATGTTGAGTAACAGTTTCACCACTCTACACATGGTGGTGAGATATTTCCCACATGTTGATTAACAGTTTCACCACTCTACACATGGTGGTGAGATACTTCCCACATGTTGAGTAACAGTTTCACCACTCTACACATGGTGGTGAGATATTTCCCACATGTTGAGTAACAGTTTCCCCACTCTACACATGGTGGTGAGATATTTCCCACATGTTGAGTAACAGTTTCACCACTCTACACATGGTGGTGAGATATTTCCCACACGTTGAGTAACAGTTTCACCACTCTACACATGGTGGTGAGATATTTCCCACATGTTGAGTAACAGTTTCACCACTCTACACATGGTGGTGAGATACTTCCTACATGTTGAGTAACAGTTTCACCAGTCTACAGGTGGTTGTGAGATATTTGCCATATGGTGGGTTAGCTTCAACACTCTACATATGGTGGTGACTGGTGAGACATATAGATAGGTTAGAGCACATGGCGGCAGCTTTGCCCGAGTCTGCTATCCTAAGTGTAATTGTCTAATGTTAACAGCATCCTGAGGGGTAGTAGAATTTCAGGCTTTTTAAGGGTGTCCTTACATGTTAACACTATTCTGGCTAGAAGGACACATGGTGAGTTATGTATAATTTCAGTTTTGATTTCTAGCAACAGCAATTCAGGTGTACTCCTTGATTTTTCTGTCTAATATTTCTATTTACTTTTTTTATTTCACAACACACAACCAAAAGTCACCAACATTCTTTATTCCTTTTTCAGGTTATGATAAAACATATGATAAAAACCGACCGAATCAACATCAAGCAAATCAACCTGTCATCAGTGACCCTTACCACGGACAAACATGATCAGTCGCCAGAGAAGGCTGAAACCAGTTGTGTCGTGGTCATACCACTCTCATTAAACATTATTAGATTAGTTTCATGGCATAAGGCAAGTCACATGTCCTTCTGCTTAGCTGAGGTCATCCTGTTGTGTCAGGGTGTTCTTGTGGGGATGGGGCATGGGTATTCTTGTGGGGGAGGGGCATGGGTGGTCATGTGGTTGAGGGGCATGGGTGATCTTGTGGCTGAGGGGCATGGGTGGTCTTTTGTTTGAGGGGCATGAGTGGTCTTGTGGTTGAGGGGCATGGATGGTCTTGTGGTTGAGGGGCATGGGTGGTCTTGTGGTTGAGGGGCATGGGTGATCTTGTGGTTGAGGGGCATGGGTGGTCTTGTGGTTGAGGGGCATGGGTGATCTTGTGGTTGAGGGGCATGGGTGGTCTTGTGGTTGAGGGGCATGGGTGGTCTTGTGGTTGAGGGGCATGGGTGGTCTTGTGGTTGAGGGACATGGGTGGTCTTGTGGCTGAGGGGCATGGGTGGTCTTGTGGTTGAGGGGCATGAGTGGTCTTGTGGTTGAGGGGCATGGGTGGTCTTGTGGTTGAGGGGCATTGGTGGTCTTGTGGTTGAGGGGCATTGGTGGTCTTGTGGTTGAGGGGCATGGGTGATCTTGTGGTTGAGGGGCATGAGTGGTCTTGTGGTTGAGGGGCATGGGTGGTCTTGTGGTTGAGGGGCATGGGTGGTCTTGTGGTTGAGGGGCATGGGTGGTCTTGTGGGGGAGGGGCATGGGTGGTCTTGTGGGGGAGGGGCATGAGTGGTCTTGTGGGGGAGGGGCATGGGTGGTCTTGTGGGGGAGGGGCATGTGTGGTCTTGTGGGGGAGGGGTGTGGGTGGTCTTGTTGCTGAGGGGTGTGGGTGTTCTTGTGGTTGAGGGGTGTGGGTGTTCTTGTGGGGGAGGGGCATGGGTGGTCTTGTGGTTCAGGCACTCAAACTACCAGTAACTACTTGTCTTGGGTTCCCATCACGGAATTATTCTGATAATTGCTTGTCGGCACCATATCCTGCAACACTCCCATCCATCCTTGGGATTGATAGCATAGCTCTATGGACAAAAGTATTCAACTGTGGTTGCAGAAACCTGTTTTTCTGTCCCCACAAGAACCCAGCGTATTCTCGATGTCCCCAGAGAAGTGGTGACAAAACTGCTGGTTGTCATGTGAAAGTCCAGATTTGAATTCATCTTCCTTAACCACCTTGTATTATACTGTGTACACATTGATGCTCGTTATGGATTTTGTACATCATATGCTATGTGTAATTTCAACTGTTTTTGTTTTCCTGTCTTTTAATCAAGAAACCTTAACTCCTTTGTCTGTTTATACATGCAGACAGACTTTATTCCGCACTTTAGCCCCAAGTGCAAACAAGATGGAAAAATTTAATTTAAATGTAAATGCTGAATAAACGTCTGGAGTACAGAACACTTTATGTTACAGGGATAGGTGATTCGTTTCTGATCTTTAGAACATAACAAAGGAATTTAATCAAATATTTAACAATATGGATATTGTCGGTTGACATAATTCTTACAAAAGTTTCAGTTATTGGTGGATTGATGAGATGATTAGCAAAACATTCTGTTCTCCGTTGGGAATAGCTGTCACATATCAACAATACATGTAATTCATCCTCAACATGATCAAAGCCTCTAGTAGGACAGAATAAACAAGCGCTCGTTATGTGGGGTCTTTGTATGTCAGTATCATTCAACAGCAAGTCTTAAGTTATTACACAGGAACATGGTTAATATTTTCCGTTGATAAGAGGTCACAAGTTAAATAGTTTTCTACACTAAGAAAAGATTTAAACCGAGAATAATGATTACTTTGAGATGAAGCTTCGAGGGAGTGATGCCAATATTAAAAGAAGCAGTCATAAAATCTCTGAAGATAACAATAGAGAATGAGATGCCACCAATGTCTTGAGACAGCCATGTACATCCAAAACCATATCTAGATAAACTGTTTCTCATATAATATACATGTAGATATACAGATGTATGTATGCATGCATTGCACCTAAACCCTATATGAAGAGTCATGACCTTATTAAAGTAATCATAGATTTATAGGCAATTTAAAACAAACAATGAGTTGGGAAGCATTTATATTTCATTTTTTGAAGACTAACTGTTCAATGTATGATTACATTGACTTTGAATGAATGTGATGATGGTACTTGGGGGGAAAAAATAATGCAAATCATTTTTTACATTAGTGAAGTGTGCAGGGATGACAATCTAATTCGTGTAAGCTAGCCTATCCATTACCATTCCCCTTTCTTGCTGATTTGCTCCATAAGGCAGCTTGTGTTTAATGGTTCTTCTGGGGTGGTCAGGTAGCCTATTGGTCAAAGCCTTTGCTCGTCACGCCAAAGAACCGGGTTCGATTCCCGACATGGGTACAATGTGTGAAGCCCATTTCTGGTGTCCCCTGCCGTGATATTGCTGGAATATTGCCAAAAGCAGGGTAAAACCATACTCACTCACTTACTAATGGTTCTACCAAGTTTTGTTATAATGCTCTAAGTTACATGAACCTCCAAGACAGTCTTTTGTCTGATCAAATGTCATGTTGCATTTTGCATTAGGAGTCTGTTGAAAAATATATCTCTTAAACTACAAAGTTTGAATGAACCTGAAACTTCGTGTCAATGATCTCATGAATTGTGTATGTAAAAAGTGCTCATACAATTCTGAGCTATTTTCTAGTTGCTGTTGCCCTATAAACTCATTTAAAATGTCCTTTTTGATTATTCTGTTTCTTGTGTCAATGTGTAACTTGATGCTACGACAGACTGTCGAGTTAGACATGGGGATGAAGCATTTGAAAGCCTTGTCAATCACGTGTGTTTATTACTTGTTTGGGGGGCACGGGTGGCCCAGTCGTCTAAGGTGCTGCGATTCGGTGTGCAGAGTTGCGTCCCTTGGGCACGCCAGAAACCTATGATTGTGGGTTCGAATCCCGGTTCGCCCCAATTATGTTTCTAGGTTTGTCAGCACCATACCCGTGCTCGTGGGTTTCACTGAAGTGGTAAACGTCTGAGACCTGCATCACTTCGGGCTTTCCTCCCACATTAAGCTGACATGCCGTGATATAACTGGAATACTGTTAAAAGCGGCGTTAAACCCAACTCACTCACTCACTCACTATTACTTGTTTGTTTCATACTTTGTGTGTCCGTCTTGATCAAGGTTGAAATTATCTTTAACTATAAAACTGTGGTTGTGACAGTAAATAAAAATGAAAGTGCGCTTGTTTTTTTTATAAGAAAAAAATGTGAGATCCAGCCCCGTGGAGATTCTGGGTTAGATAGGTACCCAGCTGATTCTTGGGTGTCATGGTGTCGTGATTAATTGTGTGTCATCGTACCATGATGGTAGGGGAAACAGTATTGTTTTAACACTATCAATTATTTGGTCTACGTTCAAACATTTACAGGCCACCATCCTGTGTTTGGAATATTGCTTATCATGCTTAGTGTTGAGATACACATTACGAAACAAAAACACACGTCGGAGCATTGTGGACCAGTGTCATATCGTTTGTCCCTGCTGGTGTGATGGTGCTACAATCACTCCAATACAAGGATTACAGGTAATGTTGCTTTTCTGACTCAATTTGAAAACTCATATTCATTTTTCGTAATATTTGTGCAAATGGCCACAAATCTAATTATTGGGTAGTTACGTGTGAGATAATCAAACAAAACATCGTTGTACGGGTTGGAATCTCATTCCATGTGTTTGGAACACAAAAATACATCTTTTCTGATTTTCGAGTTAAAGTTTATTATGCGTTTTCATTGTTTCAGTATATTTTGTTATACCTGTTAATCCTACCATCTGTAACTTGTTTAATCCACTCCTACCGAAAGCTAGATTTTTAAAAATCAATCTGAATGTTCTTCACTTTCTTCAGTGAACAAAATTTTGAATTTGAAAAAATATACTTTTGAGTGAATTCAAATGCTAGTGGGTCATGTCTTGCAGAGGGCATGGAAATCATTCTGATTTGTCCTCTCAGACCTCTATTGGGACATAAACATTCCCCGTCGGTACAATGTAGTCGTTTTGAGAGAAGCCATGCATGAAGTCTGAGAATACAATTTGAAAATCCTGCATGGTATCGTCTCATTCATGTTGCTTTTGTTATATCGAAATGATACTCTTATACTTCTGTGTATTTCTATTATATTTATCTATCAAAATAAATATTCAAAAATTTTTATCTCAAGGATGTGTTTACATTATCTTTTATTCATTATTTCTTTTCATCAACTACTGTACGTTCTTGTGTGTTGTGGCACTTGAGTATAATGTTTGAACCAGTTCTGACTTCAGAACCTGTATCAAAATGCTTCAGGTGAATGAACTGATGCTGTAAAGGTCCCAAGCTCCCATGGCTGTTGTATAAACAGGGTGCCATCAAGATCCCCCATATCTCCTCTATTGGCAGGTGACATTCGGGTCCCCAGTACCAATGGCTGCTGACATCCAGGTACCCATGTCTCCTGAAAAGACAGGGTGCCAACCAGAGCTCCATATCTCCTGTATAGACAGGCTGACATCCAGGTCCCCATATCTCCTGTATAGACAGGCTGACAGCCAGGTCCCCAGTACCCATGGCTGCTGTATTGCCAGGGTGATATCCAGGTATCCATGGGTGCTGTATAGACAGGCTGACATCCAGGTACCCATGGCTGTTGTATTGCCAGGGTGATATCCAGGTATCCATGGGTGCTGTATAGACAGGCTGACATCCAGGTCCCCAGTACCCATGGTTGCTGTATTGCCAGGGTGATATCCAGGTATCCATGGGTGCTGTATAGACAGGCTGACATCCAGGTCCCCAGTACCCATGGTTGCTGTATTGCCAGGGTGATATCCAGGTACCCATGGGTGCTGTATAGACAGGCTGACATCCAGGTCCCCATATCTCCTGTATAGGCAGGCTGGCATCCAGGTCCCCAGTACCCATGGCTGATGTATTGCTAGGGTGATATCCAGGTACCCATGGGTGCTGTATAGACAGGCTGACATCCAGGTACACATGGCTGCTGTATTGCCAGGGTGATATCCAGGTACCCATGGGTGCTGTATAGACAGGCTGACATCCAGGTACCCTTGGCTGGTGTATGGACAGGCTGACATCCAGGTACCCATGGCTCCTGTATAGACAGGATGATATCCTGGTACTCATACCTGATGTATGGACAGGATGACATCCAGGTACCCATGCCTGCTGTATAGACAGGCTGACATCCAGGTCCCCAGTACCCATGGCTGCTGTATTGCCAGGGTGATATCCAGGTACTCATACCTGATGTATGGACAGGATGACATCCAGGTACCCATGCCTGCTGTATAGACAGGCTGACATCCAGGTCCCCAGTACCCATGGCTGCTGTATTGCCAGGGTGATATCCAGGTACCCATGGGTGCTGTATAGACGGCTGACATCCAGGTACCCATGGCTGGTGTATAGACAGGCTGACATCCAGGTCCCCAGTACCCATTGCTGTTGTATTGCCAGGGTGATATCCAGGTACCAATGGCTGGTGTATGGACAGGATGATATCAAGGTACTCATGGCTGGTGTATGGACAGGATGATATCAAGGTACTCATGGCTGGTGTATAGACAGGCTGACACCCAGGTCCCCAGTACCCATGGCTGCTGTATTGCAAGGGTGATATCCAGGTACCCATGGCTGCTGTATTGACAGGCTTACATCCAGGTACCCATGGCTGGTGTATGGACAGGCTGACATCCAGGTACCCATGGCTGCTGTATAGACAGGCTGACATCCAGGTACCCATGGCTGCTGTATGGACAGGATGATATCAAGGTACCCATGGCTCCTGTATAGACAGGCTGACATCCAGGTACCCATGGCTGCTGTATGGACAGGATGATATCCAGGTACTCATGCCTGCTGTATAGACAGGCTGACATCCAGGTCCCCAGTACCCATGGCTGCTGTATAGACAGGCTGACATCCAGGTACACATGGCTGGTGTATAAACAGGCTGACATCCAGGTACCCATGGCTGGTGTATAAACAGGCTGACAACCAGGTCCCCAGTACCCATGGCTGCTGTATAGACAGGCTGACATCCAGGTACCCATGGCTGGTGTATAAACAGGCTGACAACCAGGTCCCCAGTACCCATGGCTGCTGTATAGACAGGCTGACATCCAGGTACCCATGGCTGGTGTATAAACAGGCTGACATCCAGGTACCCATGGCTGGTGTATAAACAGGCTGACAACCAGGTCCCCAGTACCCATGGCTGCTGTATAGACAGGCTGACATCCAGGTACCCATGGCTGGTGTATAAACAGGCTGACATCCAGGTACCCATGGCTGCTGTATAGACAGGCTGACATCCAGGTACCCATGGCTGCTGTATGGGGGGGATGATATCCAGGTACCCATGGGTGCTGTATAGACAGGCTGACATCCAGGTCCTCAGTTCCCATGGCTGCTGTAGGGACAGGCTGACAACCAGGCCCCAAGTACTCATGGTTGCTATATAGACAGACTGACATCCAGGTCCCTAGTAAGGATGGCTGCTGTATGGACAGACTAACCAGGTCCCCATAGCTGGTGTACAGAGGGGTGACATCCAGGTCCCCATGGCTGCTGTATGGACAGGCTGACAACCAGGTCCCCAGTACCCATAGCTACTGTATGGACAGGGTGATAACAAGGTCCCAAGTATCCCCGGCTGCTCTATAAAAAGGGCGACAACCAGGTCCCTATACCTTCAATGTACATGTACTGACTATCTAGAGTATAAAACAGTCATTCATTCGAACAGAACATTCAGATACATCCAACACATATTAGGGCACATGTAGTAAAGGCTGTTTCAATTAAAAAATAGTAACTTCATGATTTAAAAAGAAACAAAACAAAGCGATTTATGTCAGTTATGTAAAAATATATTTTATTTCTTCTCCAGCTGCCCAGAGGAAGTGTATCATTCTGGAGCAGCTCCTAAACAATCTTTGTCTAGTGGACCAATCTAGTCGGGTTAACAAACGTAACTAATTAATGAGCTGATAACACTTGAAAAAAGTCCAGCATCTGTTTAAAAAAGTAGTCAAAGATATCAAACATACCAACATGGATAGAACTTTTTATGACGTAAAAATACTTTGATGTAAAATGCTTTGCAGAATTATATTACAGTGATTTCAATTTTGACATCGATTGAGTAGTTGATACGCCTTTAAGAGGCTGTCCCCCCGAATGTTGGGTTCCTGAATGCTGATTCCTGCCCAGTCCACTTCCTGTCCCCCCGGAACAGCTTGAGGGAGGGTCTGGGTATCTGGAAGCCCGCCTCCTCACTGGTCACAGAGGACATTTCATCAAGCTGCTGACGGAGACGCAGACGTCTGTAGAGAACAACATATACACCAGATCACGACAAAATCAACGAATAATACTTCAGTATTGATTACAGTGACAACACTATAAAGCATGGAGGCGTGCAGTGACGACACTACAAAGCAAGGAGGCGTGGTATAAAGTGACTACACTAAAGCATGGAGGCGTGCAGTGACGACACTACAAAGCAAGGAGGCGTGGTTTAAAGTGACTACACTATAAAGCATGGAGGCGTGCAGTGACGACACTATAAAGCAAGGAGGCGTGGTTTAAATTGACTACACTATAAAGCATTGTGAGTGAATTTGATTTTTCGCCGCTTTTAGCAATATTCCAGCAATATCACAAATGGGCTTCACACATTGTACCCATGTCGTGAATCGAACCGGGGTTTTCGGCGTGACGAGCGAACGCTTTAACAACTAGGCTAACCGACCGCCCCCACACTTTAAAGCAAGGAGGCGTGGTTTAAAGTAACGACACTATAAACCAAAGAGGCTTAAAGTGACTAATAGGGCAAGTTGGGGGTGGTTTAAAGTGGCTATACTATAGAGCAATGACGGCTTGGTTTAAATTTACGACACTATAAACATAGGAACTCGTTATTGGTCAGCAAATAAAAATATATACCTCCTATTTATAAGAAGGGGGTATATATTTTTGTTTACTGACCAATAACGAGTTACTGTGTTTGTTAACAGTGACTACCTATAACCCAAGGGTCGTGGGATTCGGTAAGTACGCTTTGTCACACGATACACTAATATACATAGATCAAGGGGCGTGGCCTACGTTAACTACACACTAGGGCAAGGGGCGTGGTTTACAGTGGCTACAGTATACAACAGGGGAGGGGGTAGCTGTTCAACCTACCGTCTGTATCTGGCGATGGTGAAGGCGGCAGCGAGGACGCAGATGGAGAGGACGGTGGGTACCATGACATACAACACGACGCCTCCCTGACCGGCACCAGCTGCTGAAACAGGAACAGTAGATTACAGTCGTTGGCGTGTCAGCAACCAAAATTTAAAAGACATTTCAAGGCGTCCTTTTATGTGAGAGTATACGGTATTAAATGTAGTTGTTTTGATAACTGACCCATGGCTTGCTCTTCCGAGAAATCTGGGGTTTCCTGCACCAAGGCAACGGGCTGTTCATGACAGGTCAAGGTTGGTCGGTACCCTGGAAGACATAAAATGCCGTTATGAAATACACTAGTTGTATACTGTCGAGCAAAAGAAAGTAAACACTGGAAAATTGCATTTGGCCAAAAAAATACAAAAGCTATCAAAACGTTCAGTCTGGAACAGTCGTGGAAACGTCGCAAACTTTAGGTCCAAAACACAAATACGATACCCATATCAAATACATCTTCATCGAATAACCATTTCTTGTTTTAGTTTTAGCCACCATCACACATGGGTGTATACTTCCTTTTTCTGGTTAGTATAGTACTGTCAGCTATCCTGTGTAAAGTACAGTATCATCTGTTATAACACCATTTACAACTCGAAATATACAAGACATGTGACTGAAATGTACCAAGTCACACGTGACGCGGAAGACTAAGATTGCTCTGAGAATGAACCATGTCCACGCTACACTGTGGTAGCTTGGGTAGTCATAGCACCAATGCTGCTTTCTGAAGTGGATCCCACACTTATGTATAATTTGTAAAACCATTGTGTACGTCGCCATACCATTTCTAGAATATTGTTCTAAAGTTTGTAATACATCCAAACACCCGTGTCCGTAATACATTCGTACACCCGTCTCCGTAATACATCCGTACACCCGTCTCCGTAATACATCCGTACACCCGTCTCCGTAAGACATCCGTACACCCGTCTCCGTAAGACATTCGTACACCCGTCTCCGTAAGACATTCGTACACCCGTCTCCGTAATACATCCATACACCCGTCTCTGTAATACATCCGTACACCCGTCTCCGTAATACATCCGTACACCCGTCTCCGTAATACATCCATACACCCGTCTCCGTAAGACATTCGTACACCCGTCTCCGTAAGACATTCGTACACCCGTCTCCGTAATACATCCGTACACCCGTCTCCGTAATACATCCGTACACCCGTCTCCGTAAGACATTCGTACACCCGTCTCCGTAAGACATTCGTACACCCGTCTCCGTAATACATCCATACACCCGTCTCTGTAATACATCCGTACACCCGTCTCCGTAATACATCCGTACACCCGTCTCCGTAATACATCCATACACCCGTCTCCGTAATACATCCATACACCCGTCTCCGTAATACATCCATACACCCGTCTTCGTAATACATCCATACACCCGTCTCCGTAATACATTCGTACACCCGTCTCCGTAATACATCCATACACCCGTCTCCGTAATACATCCATACACCCGTCTCCGTAATACATCCGTACACCCGTCTCCGTAATACATTCGTACACCCGTCTCCGTAATACATCCATACACCCGTCTCCGTAATACATCCGTGCACCCGTCTCCGTAACACATCCGTCTCCGAAATACATTCGTACAGTCGTCTCCGTAATACATTCGTACAGCTTTCTCCGTAATACATCCGTGCACCCGTCTCCGTAATACATTCGTACACCCGTCTTCGTAATACATCCATACACCCGTCTCCGTAATACATCCATACACCCGTCTCCGTAATACATCCGTGCACCCGTCTCCGTAACACATCCGTCTCCGAAATACATTCGTACAGTCGTCTCCGTAATACATTCGTACAGCTTTCTCCGTAATACATCCGTGCACCCGTCTCCGTAATACATTCGTACACCCTTTTTCGTAATACATCCATACACCCGTCTCCGTAATACATCCATACACCCGTCTCCGTAATACATCCATACACCCGTCTCCGTAATACATCCGTACAACCGTCTCCGTAATACATTCGTACACCCGTCTCCCTAATAAATTCGTTAACCCGTGTCCGCATCTGTCTGTGTGGCCACGGTCTTGTTTGTTTGATTAAGATTAGGACTCCATTCCACAAAGCGACCATAGTGCTACGACTGTTGTGAGTCCATGTTAAAGTATTGGCGTTACGATCATCTTAGCACGGAGATTGCTGCTAATATGGACCCAGACGACTCTATTCACGGCCAGTTTTATGGTAGATACTTGGAAGACTTTTACCAAATTTGACACATCGTTGACAAAAATAATTGATGCTGTCAGCTATCCTGTGTAAAGTACAGTATCATCTGTTATAACACCATTTACAACTCGAAATATACAAGACATGTGACTGAAATGTACCAAGTCACACGTGACGCGGAAGACTAAGATTGCTCTGAGAATGAACCATGTCCACGCTACACTGTGGTAGCTTGGGTAGTCATAGCACCAATGCTGCTTTCTGAAGTGGATCCCACACTTATGTATAATTTGTAAAACCATTGTGTACGTCGCCATACCATTTCTAGAATATTGTTCTAAAGTTTGTAATACATCCAAACACCCGTGTCCGTAATACATTCGTACACCCGTCTCCGTAATACATCCGTACACCCGTCTCCGTAATACATCCGTACACCCGTCTCCGTAAGACATCCGTACACCCGTCTCCGTAAGACATTCGTACACCCGTCTCCGTAAGACATTCGTACACCCGTCTCCGTAATACATCCATACACCCGTCTCTGTAATACATCCGTACACCCGTCTCCGTAATACATCCGTACACCCGTCTCCGTAATACATCCATACACCCGTCTCCGTAAGACATTCGTACACCCGTCTCCGTAAGACATTCGTACACCCGTCTCCGTAATACATCCGTACACCCGTCTCCGTAATACATCCGTACACCCGTCTCCGTAAGACATTCGTACACCCGTCTCCGTAAGACATTCGTACACCCGTCTCCGTAATACATCCATACACCCGTCTCTGTAATACATCCGTACACCCGTCTCCGTAATACATCCGTACACCCGTCTCCGTAATACATCCATACACCCGTCTCCGTAATACATCCATACACCCGTCTTCGTAATACATCCATACACCCGTCTCCGTAATACATTCGTACACCCGTCTCCGTAATACATCCATACACCCGTCTCCGTAATACATCCATACACCCGTCTCCGTAATACATCCGTACACCCGTCTCCGTAATACATTCGTACACCCGTCTCCGTAATACATCCATACACCCGTCTCCGTAATACATCCGTGCACCCGTCTCCGTAACACATCCGTCTCCGAAATACATTCGTACAGTCGTCTCCGTAATACATTCGTACAGCCGTCTCCGTAATACATCCATACACCCGTCTCCGTAATACATCCGTGCACCCGTCTCCGTAACACATCCGTCTCCGAAATACATTCGTACAGTCGTCTCCGTAATACATTCGTACAGCTTTCTCCGTAATACATCCGTGCACCCGTCTCCGTAATACATTCGTACACCCGTCTTCGTAATACATCCATACACCCGTCTCCGTAATACATCCATACACCCGTCTCCGTAATACATCCATACACCCGTCTCCGTAATACATCCGTACAACCGTCTCCGTAATACATTCGTACACCCGTCTCCCTAATAAATTCGTTAACCCGTGTCCGCATCTGTCTGTGTGGCCACGGTCTTGTTTGTTTGATTAAGATTAGGACTCCATTCCACAAAGCGACCATAGTGCTACGACTGTTGTGAGTCCATGTTAAAGTATTGGCGTTACGATCATCTTAGCACGGAGATTGCTGCTAATATGGACCCAGACGACTCTATTCACGGCCAGTTTTATGGTAGATACTTGGAAGACTTTTTCCAAATTTGACACATCGTTGACAAAAATAATTGATGCGAAATTTATTGTTTTGACTTGTACCATATGTACCTATGTTTTTTACAGGTGAAAATTGACTTGCCTTTGCATGTGTTTGTGTTGGTTGACACTGGTGGGGTAACCAACAACTGACAAACACTCCATTATTTACAGGCTGTCGTGAGTTGAATTAATGTTGACCGACGCAAAACCTTGTACTCACTCTCTCGCACGTGCATCCTCCCGAGACAAGGGAGTTAACTAACTATCAAAGTACAGTTTCCACAGTCAGTTAACTCCCTCGCCTCGCGTAGATGTCGCACGTGAGTCTTCCTTACCACTCACCATCTTCCTGGTCGTTTTTCCGGCACTGCGCGCCACTTGGGTACTGTGCAAGGTAGTCCCGATCAGTCGCTTCCCTGTAGCCGGCCCGACACTCGCACACCTTGGTTGATGGATTGCACACCTGTTCGTACTTATTGGCACAAAACATCAATGAAGCAAAGTCACATGGTTCTCTTAGCAACGACAACGTGATGGATGGCACCTTCAAGCGGCAACGTTTACCGTCGTTGGAGGGTTCGTAAGATGGCGGGATGCACGTGCATGTCCCGCTCTTACAGAATGTGGCTATCCCACCACACTTCTGCTTACCGTCCTGGCAAGGTTCTGACAGCTGGACAACTAAAACACGGACATAGAAAGTTGTATATCAATTATTGTTAATTGTAAACAATGCCGTCCGGATGACGGACACAGTACAGTGGTGCGCGAGAAGTGATATTTGCACTTGTGCACATATGATTTTCTAACCATATTAATATGAATATGTATATAGCAAAGATGTGTAGCATTGCAACCTAGATGCTGCCATAGCAACTTCAGCAGTTGTATATGTAGTTAGCACAGTGGAGTCTGTCTAAACCGAACTTGAATGAGACCAAAGTTTAGTCTGGTTTAAACAGAGGTCGGGATTTGTAAGATGCGAGCAAATCTTGGTATCTCGTACACTGAAGAGTGAGTGAGTGAGTATGGTTTTACGCCGCTTTTAGCAATATTCCAGCAATATCACGGCGGGGGACACCAGAAATCGGCTTCACACATTGTACCCATGTCGGGAATCGAACCCGGGTCATTGGCGACACGAGCGAACGCTTTAACCACTAGGCTACCCGACCGCCCCCGTACACTGAAGAGCGAGGATACCAAATATGTAGTAGATCTATTAGTCAGCGTCAGTATGAAGTAACTCTGGCTAGAAGTATTCAAAACTCATTAAGGGTTAGGTTGCGTTGCCCTAACCCAGGCAACATTTGAAGCAAGGGTTACAGGTGGAAATCTGTCCCGATGACTGTGAGAGAACCTACAAGGACAACACTCTATGTTTCGCGTGTTCCATCTCCTGGTGTACGGATCCCACCACCCCAAATTTCACAAATTTGGAATAAACTTAAGATGATGAGGAGAGTCGTTAACTAATTCCGACAGTAAGGTAGCTATCACACTATTAAAATGCGCCGATGACACTAGTTCTGAAAAAAAATGGTCATGCATTTAACCTTTTTACACTACTATACTACTGAGTGACCACTTAAGAAAATATTGTTTTGCACTAACATTTATATTTTCGACTAACGACCATATTCTTATGACTATAACTCTATAAACTAAGTACATAAAATAATAGGACTTAGGGAGTTTCTGGTTGTGGGGTTTGTTGAGCGCTCTGTGAAATGTGTTTTAAAGTTTTACATCAAATGATGTTAACATCAGAAACGACACCAAACCCTGAACATTACTCTATAAACTAAGTGCATAAAATAATAGGACTTAGGGAGTTTCTAGCTGTGGGGTTTGGTGAGCGCTGAACATAACTCTATAAACTAAGAGCATAAAATAATAGGACTTAGGGAGTCTCTAGCTTTGGGGTATGACGGGTGCTCTGTGAAATGTGTCAACATCAGAAACGACACAACCCCTGACTCCAGGCTTCCGCTGTCTCTACAACACGATGCGGGCACAGAGAACAACATCGAGGTGTTGGGATCTACCTGGTATGCACTTGGTTGGGACGTCGCTGTCGGGGGCGAAGCCGATATCACACCAGCACCGCTTCCCACAACCAGCCTCAGTCTCCAGACAGCTGGCGTCTTTGGGACACAGCACGTCGGATGTACAGAAGTTGCCGGGCACAACTACAACAGAGCAATAGACATGCACACTTACCCGCGTTTTCTACATATAGATACTATAGCTCATGTAAAATGTGAGGGGACTCAGTCTACAGTCCTCCCTGGTTACATTGCCCCTGGTTATAATGACATCCTGGTTATCATGTCATCCTGGTTGTAATGTCATCCTGGTTATCATGTCATCCTGGTTGTAATGTCATCCTGGTTATAATGTAATCCTGATTATAATGTCATCCTGGTTATAATGCCATCCTGGTTATAATGTCATCCTGGTTGTAATGTCATCCTGGTTATAATGTCATCCTGGTTATAATGTTATCCTGATTATAATGTCATCCTGGTTATAATGTCATCCTGATCATAATGTCATCCTGATTATAATGCCATCCTGGTTATAATGCCACCCTGATCATAATGTCATCCTGGTTATAATGCCATCCTGGTTATAATGTCATCCTGATTATAATGTCATCCTGATTATAATGTCATCCTGATTATAATGTCATCCTGGTTATAATGCCACCCTGATCATAATGTCATCCTGATTATAATGCCATCCTGGTTATAATGCCATCCTGATCATAATGTCATCCTGGTTATAATGTCATCCTGATTATAATGTCATCCTGATTAAAATGTCATCCTGGTTATAATGTCATCCTGATTATAATGTCATCCTGGTTATAATGTCATCCTGATTATAATGTCATCCTGGTTATAATGCCACCCTGATCATAATGTCATCCTGATTATAATGCCATCCTGGTTATAATGCCATCCTGATCATAATGTCATCCTGGTTATAATGTCATCCTGATTATAATGTCATCCTGATTAAAATGTCATCCTGGTTATAATGTCATCCTGATTATAATGTCATCCTGGTTATAATGTCATCCTGATTATAATGTCATCCTGGTTATAATGCCATCCTGATCATAATGTCATCCTGATTATAATGCCATCCTGATCATAATGTCATCCTGATTATAATGCCGCCATCCTGGTTATAATGCCATCCTGATCATAATGTCATCCTGGTTATAATGCCATCCTGATCATAATGTCATCCTGATTATAATGCCGCCATCCTGGTTATAATGCCATCCTGATCATAATGTCATCCTGGTTATAAAGTCATCCTGATTATAATGTCATCCTGATTATAATGTCATCCTGATCATAATGTCATCCTGATTATAATGTCATCCTGGTTATAATGCCATCCCGATCATAATGTCATCCCGATTATAATTCCATCCTGGTTATAATGCCACCCTGATCATAATGTCATCCTGATTATAATGCCATCCTGGTTATAATGCCATCCTGGTTATAATGCCATCCTGGTTATAATGCCACCCTGATCATAATGTCATCCTGATTATAATGCCATCCTGGTTATAATGCCATCCTGATCATAATGTCATCCTGGTTATAATGTCATCCTGATTATAATGTCATCCTGATTAAAATGTCATCCTGGTTATAATGTAATCCTGATTATAATGTCATCCTGGTTATAATGTCATCCTGATTATAATGTCATCCTGGTTATTATGTCATCCTGATTATAATATCATCCTGGTTATAATGCCATCCTGATTATAATGTCATCCTGATTATAATGCCGCCATCCTGGTTATAATGCCATCCTGATCATAATGTCATCCTGGTTATAATGTCATCCTGATTATAATGTCATCCTGATTATAATGTCATCCTGGTTAAAATGCCATCCTGATCATAATGTCATCCTGATTATAATGCCGCCATCCTGGTTATAATGTCATCCTGATTATAATGTCATCCTGGTTATAATGTCATCCTGATTATAATGTCATCCTGGTTATAATGCCATCCTGATCATAATGTCATCCTGATTATAATGCCGCCATCCTGGTTATAATGCCATCCTGATCATAATGTCATCCTGGTTATAATGTCATCCTGATTATAATGTCATCCTGATTATAATGTCATCCTGGTTATAATGCCATCCTGATCATAATGTCATCCTGGTTATAATGCCATCCTGATCATAATGTCATCCTGGTTATAATGCCACACCTTCAACGTTCACGCGCAAACATTACATCACGCGGGTGATGAGGAATCGTGAGGCACAAGCCAATCCACAAGATAGGATTTTGGAGCAGTGCTCATGCTTGACACACTTACACAATTATCATTTGTCCATAGGCAGATTTATGTCAAATACAAGAAACAAAACTCTTTTCGTATTCAGGCGAAAGTCGATTGTACGGTTCCGGCTACATGTGTTTATGGATCACTATCACTTTCGTGTTCGCGAAAGGTAAGCGTATCCTGCCTAACCGTGTGGCACCCATCACAAACACATACAAAAGCAAGTCAATTGTTCAGTGACAAAATACAGGAACATATGATAGAAGTCAAAATTGGGTATTGCATCGGACATCATTTTCGTCACTGATGCGTCAAATTTAGAAATATCATCCAAAGACGTTTTTCAACATGTCTGAAATAATATTGTCCACATTTGACCCCTGAAATAATGTTTGAATAAATAGCTAGGATTGAATGGGTCTGTCTTGGTTCTTGTATAATATTCCATATAGCATGCCAGTAAGGTCTGGTTGTCACACGCCTCGTTATAATGCCACCCTGGTTAGAAAGCCAAATGTTCCGTTGGACGAAAGGTGGCATTTTAGAAAGCTGTATATCACCTTCATCGGAATCCAGGGTTATTGTATTCAACGTTAAAGACAGCATGGGACAAGTTGAAGAAATATTGAATTTGTGAGGACTGTAGCATATCGTACTTTCTACCAGAATAAAGAAACACTTACGGTGTTGACACTGAAGTTCTTCTGTCGTCCCTCCGCTAGGGGTCGTGTCTGGCGCCGCACCTGCAATATACACCAGTACATGTACATCTTCCCTGTGGTGTAAATGCATGTGGCATACTTTTGAGGCACTAACGTATTTCTGAATCGCTTAATCTTATCAATTACTGCAAAGTAAAATATTGTTACAAACTGAAAGATGTTTAACTTGTTTAAATGCTAAAAGTTTAATAAGAGCTCATTGTAAACTTAGAATTTCATTGCACAATTTTAATGTAAATGTATGTCGCAGGTCCAAAGACGGTGATATTGTGAGCTCTATTTGTACAAACCGTTCACCCGGAGAAGTAGATGATGAATACCATGTCTTACTCATATGTGAAACGTATTCCCATTAAAGGTATAAAATTCTCCCGCTGTTGCAAGGTATTTCTAAAGACCGTCAGTTAATGATAAATCTGCTAAACTTTGAAAATCCTGATATGATCAATGCTGTTTCTGTATTCATAAAACATGTCTTTAAAATGAGGAATGTGTAACTAGAGTTAATCATGTACATCAAGTGACAAATGTTAATATCCATCTGCATTGTATTATGGGCCTTGATGCCTAAATTACTGAATAAACTGTCTGTCTGTCTGTAAATGCATGGACATGCATTAAGGTAAATTTGATCATTGAAACAAACATATTGCAATTTCATGACATTTGTGTTGATAACTATGCGGTGACGTATGCACCTGAAGTGTGACATGACAAAGACCCCGAGGCACTATTTAAACCCAGGAACACATTCACGGACGAAAGTAGAGCCATAAATAAAAACATAATTTTTTTTCTAATAAATCAAATGTTTTAAATCTATACATTCTGTTGATATACTTATGATCAGAACTGAGTGAGCAAAATAAACTCCAAGTCTGGATTCGAACCAGATCCTTCTGAGGACAAACAAGCGAACAACTACTGTCTTCTATGCGGGTGAAATTAAAAGTGCATTGGTATAATGAGAACTGTACCACAAAAATTGTAGAGTATACTGGGTGAGTGAGTTAAGTTTAACGCTACTTTAAGCCCCAAGTGGCTCAGATCATATACGATAACATTGGCAAAACAAAGGGGGAGAAGTATGTTGCTAAAGCACCAAGGGTCAAAATCGCGAAGAAATCTGGTATTCACGACACCCACAGGTCGGGAAGAGCGTATTAAAACACGAACCCCCACAGGTGAGAGACAGAAGTGGATTAGTGTATAGAAGCACGAACCCCCACAGGTGAGAGATAGAAGTGGATTAGTGTATAGAAGCACGAATCCCCACAGGTGAGAGACAGAAATGGACTAGTATATTGGAGCACGAACCCCCACAGGTCAGAGACAGAAGTGGATTAGTGTATAGAAGCACGAACCCCCACAGGTGACAGACAGTAGAAGTGGAATATTGGATTGAAGCACGAACTCTACGTCAAGTAAGGCATCATTTCATGGCTTGGTCGTGCATACAGGCTGAACAGACAGATGAATCTTTGAAACCAAGGATTAAGCAAATCTAAAGAACAAGACCACATAACATTACAGGAGCTAAGCAAGATAAACTAGAACCCGGATGTACATGAGATGACGTACCACGTGTACATGACGCAACTATATGAAACGTGACTAAAAGCTGTGGCATCTAAAGAACCAGTCAGTGCGCTACCCATACCGTGCCCCGGAGACCTGTTTGCATTACCACACGTATTTTATAAAGGTTCTGTCAGTGGCTTTGTTTGACGTTCCCCAGGGCTGTATAGTCTTAACGCACCGACTGCTTCTAACGATTGCAGTAAAGTGCTTCCTATTTCCACCACGACTAGAACGAACAGAAAAATAGTAGATGCTAGAGTCGATAGTTTCCACAGCCATCAGCGACAGAGGTGAAAAACTACACACAACAAGCGTGCTCATGTACTGTGATAAACTCGAATTCCAGCATTAATAAAAATAAAACAGAATGTTGGATTAATGTTGGATTTGTGTGCTGACGATTAGGTGCCTCACTCTGGCAGTGTGGGTTCGAAGCCCTGACGGGACTCAACCCCCAAAAGTAAGAGAATCTGTACTTGACAAAGAAAGTGTTATCTCAAATATAACATTTGTTAGGTTGGATTAACCGTTTCAGTTATGATGTCATGCAAATTACGTTTGTCGAAATGGCTTATATCTCAAAAATGCCAGCTGACAATCCGAGTTTAGGTCTAGTACACGGTGATGAACGAGACTGGCCGAATGAACTTCACGTGCCTTGGCGACATTGTCCGAACACTTCCCACATGTCCGGCTCATTTTCAATTTCAGCCGGTGTAGCTTCTCTAAAATTGCCACAGTCGCAATGTCCGCCAGTACAAGAGGAGAGGACACCCATACACTCTCCTATCTGACAAGCATCGGAAAGGAGTTTGACACCAGGCCTGATGCAATACTTTCCGTCAGCCGACGTCGCCGTTAGAGGAGCTCCGCACGTGCATATTTTTAAATTTGTGTTGCACGCGCTGCCAGGAGTTCTGCATGACACTGTTTCACTACACGCTTCTCCGAGTCCTGCCGCTGAAATAAAACAATGTCAAACATACATGTCAATTACCTACACAATCTGCCTTTGCGATACTTATCCCCAACAAGTTGCCTTTGCCGTTAGTGTACAAAGGAACTGCGAACACAACTGTACATCTTCCCGAGGCAAGGGAGTTCACTGACTATAAAAGTCCAGTTTCCACCCTTGTCGAACTAGGCTGAAATTTCAAGGCTTGATCGTAGCGCCACCAGTGGGGATTACGAGTTACATCCCTCCTATTGACCAATCAGATTCCACCTCTCATAACACTTGCATTTTCTTTAAATAAAATGGCGGCGCCAAGTGAAGACGATCTGATCTAAAATCAAGATCTATATTGTAATACAACGGGTCTTTCTTCCCACAGTGCATCAAATCACGTGAGCACATTGATTAAAAACATGAACAAATTTGGAAAATATCTGTCATCGCCCGTTTGACGGTACATATGCTTTGCATATTATGCAATCGACCGAAATATGCACGGCAGTTTACGAACCGGATGTTGATTTCGTTACGCGATTCTGTTTGGACTATGAATAGACTCGTTTGTCAAGCCAAAATAAAACTCCATAATTCCAGCCTAGTTCGGCAAGGATGGAAACTTGACTTTTACAACTGTACAGCCTTTTAAAAAGTACTGTCAAAGGCCCGTGGATTTGGTGACATCCAGTGGTGACGCATTTCCCGTATTCTCCACATTTACGTCAAAATTGATGTTTACTCGATGTTCTGGGTCCACTTGCACAAAGCGATCTCAGCGCTCCAATACTCTAATATACACTTACGACAGTCGTAGCGCTAAGGTCGCTTCGTGCATGTGGACCTTGACCAATGAGACATTCGTCATGCATCTTGGGTGAGACTGAGGTTATGGACGTGAAGTAAAAACAAAACGATGTTGGGTGATGATGTCGGTTGATATGTGTGTGTGTGTGTGTGTGAGAGAGAGAGAGAGAGAGAGAGAGAGAGAGAGAGAGAGAGAGAGAGGGGGGGGGGGGGGGGGAGAAGTCGAGGAGTCGAGTACAAAAGTGAGTTTGGGGAAGGAGCAGCTTTGAACATTATTTCAGTTAAGTCACGGCGTGTCAGCTTAATGTGGGAGGAAATCCGAGCTTATGCAGATCCTAGACGTTTACCACTATGGTGAAACCAACATGTATAGTGCTGACAAACCTAGAAATATAATCAGGTTGAATCGTAGCTTTCTGGCACGCCTAGGGGACGCAACTCTGCACGGCGAATTGTGGCGCTTGAGACGACAGGGCCACCCGTGCCCCCGGTGAGAGTAGCTATGGGAATAGTGAGTATGAGAGACTGAATGTGAGGTTAAGTGTAAGGGATGCGGTCAGATGTAGAGAATGGGCGCACTGAAGGTGCACTGCGGATGTGAGTAAGGTAAAGGGAAGTGTAAAGGTTGGGTTTAGGTTTGTTTGTTTGTTGTTAATCGCCGCACCCAGCAATATTTCAGCTATATGACATCGATCTGTAAATAATCGAATGTGGAGCAGACAATCCAGTGATTGATATCATGAACATCGATCCACGCATTTGGGATAGGATGACAAGCATTAACCAAGTCAGCGAGCCTGACCACCCGATCTCGTTAGTCGCCTCCTACTACAAACATAGTCGCATCTGAAGACCTATTCTAACCCTGATCTTCACGGGCCGTTGTATTTCGGTGATAAAGTGCAGGTACAGGTGATCGCTAGATGTGGGTGTAACGGTGAGGGGAGGGGAGGGGTAAGGGTGCGTTGATGAGGTGAGGGCCGGCAGGGAGGAGAGGACATACAGCATACCGGACCATTGCATGTACGTTGCATTGTACTCCAATAATTTTCTAATTGTATCACAGTGGCACGCATCTTTCCGCACCAAGGTGGTTACCTGACCATAAAAGTCCAGTTTCCAGCCTTGCCGAACTAGGCTGGAATACATTTTGGCTGGACTAACGAGTCTATGCATAGTCCCATCAAAATCGCGGAACAAACTAGACATCCGGTTCGTAAACAATATGAATTGCAAAGTGCAGATTTGGGTCGACTGCAGGATTGGCAAAGCATGTGGACCGCCAAATGGGCGTCGACAGATATTTTGATTTTTTTTCAGGTTTTTAATCAAGGTGCACAAGGTGATTTAATGCACTTCGCGAGGTAAAACATGTTTTTTGACAATGTCGATCGATTTATCGATCTGATCGTCTTGAGTGTGTTTGAATCAAATGCAAGTGATATAAGAGATGGAATCTGATCGGTCAACAGAAAGGACATAGAAGGGACATAAACCGTAAAAGCCTCTGGCGGCGCTACGATCGAGCTCGAAATTTCAGCCTAGTTCGGCAAGTGTGGACACTGGTTACCTCCCTTGACGATGAGTGGCACCATTTTAATCTTGTCTCGTGATTGGCTCAGAGCTTTCATTTTCTTTGAACAGCATACCATTTCTTTCAAACATCAACAATCATCTTCAACCAAACCTGAAATGATGCCTTTAGGGGACAAGTTCACTTCAACCCGCATAGGGTAGAAGACGTCTCACCACGATGAAGAAGCATTGGTTAAAAAGCATCCCCATTCTCCCTTACGCGTCTACTGTCATATTTCAGTAATAAAAAAGTGAGAAAGGGATGTCAGAACAATCTTTGATAATGGCGCACTCCCTTAATTTGGTATTAATATCAAAACAAATGATTCACCTTTTTCAGCTGAATTGCTAGAAATGTGTTAGTGCGGAGACGTATAGCGCATTTATGATCATTTCCATTCAACAGGCGCAAAGCATTATCTCTTGCTGTGGTTTAAAGCCAAAAGCTTCTTTCCACGACCACCGTTGTAAAATTCAAAAGCGAAATGCTGAAAGTGTGAGTGAATGAGTGAGTTCAGTATATAGAAATAATGACAAGGACTGTCCATTCTTAGCATATGAAGCATAAATTGATATGAACATAGCTTAGTATGCGAGAGTGTTTTAACACCGCTTTTACAATACTTCATTTATATCACAGAGTGTCAGCTGAATGTGGAAGAAACGCCCAGAGTAATTAAGGTCCAACACGTTTAAAGACGAAACCCACAGGTCATAACACTGACAGACCAACGGGCTTATTGGGCTAATCTGAGACCCGAAACCACGATCCTGATGTTTGCATCACCTTAGCCCACTGGACCACCCGGATAGACTAGGTTACGTTGTGCCAGTGAAACAAGCAAGAAATACTCATATCCCCCGCCAATATGACATGTGCAAGGCATTAGCCCACCAGAAACTACCGCCATCAAAGTTTAAAGTCGTTGCTATAAAAACTCGAAAAATATTTTTTTCAAAAGTCTCAAAACTATAAAAAGGCACGAGTTCACCACTAGATCTAGCTATGTGTCGTTTGGTTAAGTTCTGCTCCGGGAACGAAACTTGACGGACAAAAGGAACCCCACCCCCCTCCCTTGGCCGCGGGGGATAATACTCCACAAATGGCCAGGAGGCCACATGGTCAAACACACGTACTTGTGAAGCAGGCGGTTCTCGCGGAGTTGGGCGAGAAGTCCTTCTTGCACTGGCAGCGATACTCGGTGCAGTTGACAAGCTTACACAAGGCGTCCACTGGGCACGTGGTGTCATTCTCACAAACGTCGTACACCTTGGGGAGAACCGGCGCTGGAAGAATCCATAAGGCTACTTTTATGGCAGTCAGAAGATAATATTAAGCTAGAATATATGTGTGCCGTATACAGCAGTATACCGCAACGGGCAAGGTCTGGAGCTTAATAGTGTCCCATTAAAGCTTTAAAAATCGTGTAATGTTCACATGCGAAAAACGATGATCATCTGGCAATCTGAAGGTGGCGGATTTGCAGCTGGCTGACTCATCCGAATAATGAAAGTGATGCTACGGCTTGGTGAGGTAAAAATTTTTCGATATTTATTGTTGGTTCGAGTTACTTGGCACTAGATAGTTTGGGACGAGTTGACAAAAAAATGCACGTGCGGCAAGTACCTTGTGTTGTGACGGAACTGCTCATGGCCTGCTGTGCTGTGGAGGAGGGCTGTATGTCAGCTGACGAGCTGGCGCTGATGGTGGCCACGGGAGTAGAGGTCAGAGCCTCGGTCTGAGACATGGCAGGGGAAGAACTAGCTTCCGTTTGCGAAGGGGCGATAGAGGAAGAAGCATCGTTCAAAGGAGCCACAGAGCTTGATGGAACCAGAGAACTTGATGGAGCCGCAGAACTTGATGGGGCCGCAGAACTTGATGGGGCCGCAGAACTTGAGGGAGCTGCAGAACTTGATGGGGCCGCAGAACTTGATGGAGCTGCAGAACTTGATGGAGGTGCAGAACTTGATGGAGGTGCAGAACTTGATGGGGCCGCAGAACTTGATGGGGCCGCAGAACTTGATGGAGCTGAAGAACTTGATGGAGCTGCAGAACTAGATGGGGCTGCAGAACTTGATGGAGCTGCAGAACTTGGTGGTGCTGCAGAACTTGATGGGGCCGCAGAACTTGATGGAGCTGCAGAACTTGATGGAGCCAGAGAACTTGATGGAGCTGCAGAACTAGATGGGTCCGCAGAACTTGATGGAGCTGCAGAACTTGGTGGTACTGCAGAACTTGATGGGGCCGCAGAACTTGATAGAGCCGCAGAACTTGATGGAGCTGCAGAACTTGAAGGAGCCGCAGAACTTGAGGGAGCCGCAGAACTTGATGGGGCCGCAGAACTTGATGGAGCTGCAGAACTTGATGGGGCCACAGAACTTGATGGAGCTGCAGAACTTGATGGAGCCGCAGAACTTGATGGAGCTGCAGAACTTGATGGAGCGGCAGAACTTGACGGAGCCACAGAACTTGATGGAGCCACTGAACTTGATGGAGCCACTGAACCTGATGGAGCTGCAGAACTTGATGGAGCTGCAGAACTTGATGGTGCCGGAGGCTTCGGTACACATATATCATCGAACTGTTCGTCAGTGAAACCTGAAACGAGGTCAACCAAGTAAAGGTGCCGATGAGGTTTATGTAAAGATATATTTATAGAACGCAACTGCAACACGAACTTACTGGCTAGGATGGCACTGTGGATGCAGTAAGTCTTGAGACCATACTGCAGACGCTCGTCCGTGCTGACCTCCCTGAACTTGGTCTTGCAGCCACACTTTCCCTCCGTGCCACAGACCAGACCTCCATCGCAGTCCGTGATGCCCCCGCATGTCTCGTTGATGGTAGCGACCAGGTAGACTTCGGGGGCCAAGGACTCTGGCCTACACAGACCCTTCCCCGTGTCCTCGTACCCGCCCTCGCACGCACACTTGCCGTTGTAGCAGAGGCTGTACAGGGTGGCGCACACAGTTGCTTCGGGGTCGCAGTCGTCTCCCAAAGAACGTACTGAAAAATAAGGAATGCGTTTGGAATCGTATTTACCGAAGAATCATTCAGTGCGTGTGCCCTTAATGCTAGTCAACCACGCATGTCGCCGATATAATGTCAATGAGGTTGTGTAACGTACTACTACTCTACTACTACTACTACTACTACTACTACTACTACCACCACAATTTTATTACAACAAATAAGGATGTAAACCAAAATACTATATAAGCGCTCTATATCTGTGTGAATTATGTTAATGCGCCGATGGGTTTCTCATCTTTCTACACTGGGGTAGAGTTACACGAGCAGAGTTACGTCCCTTAGTTGGACGAGGAATCGTTCAGTCCCAGATCTGCCCCTGATACGTGTGTACCTGTTGGTATGCATGTAAGTCTACGTACCATCTTTACACGCTGTCTTGTCCAATGCTGCTGATGTGCCCTGGGGACACGTGCATTTCTTCACACACCCAATCGCCTCACATGTTGCGTTGCCCGTGCACTCGGTGTCGAGCACACATATTCCGCCCACGGGAACCTTCTCTGAAAATATTACAAGTCTTTGTTTTCACAATACGTTTGTTGTTTAACGCCGCACTCCAACATTCCAGCTATACGACGGCGGTATGTAAATAATCGAGCCTGGACCACCCGATCCATAAGTCGCCTCTTATGACAAGCATGGGTTGCTGAAGATATACTCAAACCTGGATCTTCACGGGTTCACAATACGTAGCTGGGCTATGTATTGATATTTGTTTTACTCGAAACAAAGAAGTATATATCATGTTGAAATAGAGACAAGAGCCATTTACATTTACCACTTGTCAATATTACGTTTTGAATAAATGAATGTTTACAACCAAGCGGTTGCACTTATATTATTAATAATAATTAATATATTATTACAATACAGTTACAGATTACCGGAAGTAATTATTCAAAATAATGTTAAGTTTAGAGAACAACATTTTCCAATACAATGCACGAATCTAGATTCGTGTTTAATTTTATTGTAGTGTACCTCTTTCTGGTGTTTCCGCACACGCGGCGTCGTCTATGCTTTGTCCTGAAGAAGTCAAACGTTGCAGGTCAGTTTCCCAGACATTGTTACAATTGTATTCTTTCAACCAATCAACCCAGTTTCCCCCCAATCGCACAGGACGGGGACCACTCAGCAGGCATAACAATGTTAAATCAATGTTGAATCAATATCGTGCTTCAACGTCCAATGACAGTGATTTTCTTTTGGATTTGAAGTTGTGATGATGTTGAAATGTAAACATCATATATCAATGTTGAAATAAACGTCGGATGTTTAGCATATTTTCAAATATCTAAGGCCAATGTTGAAACAATGTTGAAAACAACGTGACATTTCAACCAATCTTCAAATATCGAAAGGCAAATCTTGAAACAATATTGATGCAATAGTTTTTAAAGTAGCAACCTCAAATCAAATTTAAACATTGAGACAATGTCATGGGCCTGCTGGGAAGTGTCAACCTCGTTTCCGGTCTCCCAGTCTGAGACCGCCTCCGTGGTCTTGTGGTAGAGCGTCCGCCCGGAGAGTGGAAGGTCCGGGGTTCGATCCCCGGCCGCCTCATACCAAATGACGTTAAAAGATGGTACTTGTTGTTACCCTGTCGCACGGCATTAAAGGGCTAAAACAAGGACTGGTCGGCTCGGAGTCAGTATACTGTATCTGAGTGGGGTATTCATGCTAAACTGCGGCATGGTATCTCACTGGGCTAGCACTATAAATCGGCATCAGTCCGGACTAGTACAAGCAGACACACACACGCACACACACACGTGCATGAACGTCGCTATATAAGTGCAATAATCTTGGACGCGACTTTAAACTCCATTTCACCTTACCTCTCCCAGTCTGACAACTACAGGGACCAGCTTCCTGGGGCCCTAGTCTCCAGGAACTAGAGTCTTACACTGGATGTATGGTGAGTAAATTGTATCTTTCTTCCACATTCAAGTGCTTCCAAATCTGTACGAGTGCTACAAAGGTATCGACATTAACATGCCGCTGTGTATGTTCACCTGGGAGTCCAATATACGATACAAATGTAAATTACGAGGCCAAGGCGAACCTTTCAATTAAAGTGAAGTCAAATGGGGTTAATGTCGCGTTCAAATTACTTGTACTTCAATACCTTTTCTAGAGACGTGCATGCATGTGTGTGTGTGTGTGCGTGCGTGCGTGCGTGCGTGCGTGCGTTCGTGTGCTTGCGTGTTCTGTTGTAATTAGCGTTATGTTATTTTGCTTTGCCTGTTTCATCTTTACTTTTATTGTTTTTGTTTAATACTAGTATAGAAATATGTATACACCCAAAGCATTGGCGTTTCTGATAATGGGTCCCCATTATGGAATGTATCCTTGTATTTTCTGATGGCAATGTGTGTTAGGGATCCGAGAGTAGGTGTGGCTGTTTTGGTAATCCGGGCTAATGCCACACATTTGTCTGACTCTTAACCGAAAAGTCCCCATTAATGCCTAGCGCCAGACAAGGTAACAACAAGTACCATCTTTTAGCATCTTTTGATATGACGCAGCTGGGATCGAACCACTGCCCATACCGTGTCGGCTTATTGTGGGAGAAAAGACCGAAGTGATGCAGGTCTCAGACATTTACCACTTTGGTGAAACCCACGAACACGGGTAGAAACATCATCGGGACGAAGCGGGGTTCAAACATCATAGATTTCTGCCGTGCCCAAGGGCCGAGTTGCGGCGTCTTAGACGATTGTCCACAATGCCCCCTCAGGGGAAAAGAACATTCAGTAAAGTTAGGTAGATAATGTGTGAGGATTATTCCTGAACAGCTCACCTATTTGTAGGTTATCAGGAACACATTCCCCGGCGGAGGGCAGCGCAGCGAAAATGTCGTCAGAGGTCACCTTGTTCCCTGCCCGACACACACATTTTAGTTCGGAGCCACATTCCTGGAACAAAGCGTCGAGGCAGACGGTGTCACCGCCGTTGCAGTCTTCACCCAGTAGAGAGTACACCCTCCCGGCCAGGGGTTCCGGCTTGCAGCGTTTCCCGTTGTCGGAGGGGTACTTTCCAAGGTCACAGGTACACGTGTTGCCGATGCAGGAACCGGCAGCACACACGCTGCCGGCGTCGCCGCACGTGTCGCCGAGGTTTCGCACTGAAAGGGTCAGAGGATAATATGTTTAACGCCGCACTCAGTAATATTCCAGCTATATGACGGCGGTCTGAAAATAATCGAATCTGGACCAGACAATCCAGAGATTGACATCATGAGCATCGATCTACGGAATTGGGATATGATGACATGCATCAACCAAGTCAGCGAGCACGACCACCCGATCCCATCAGTCGCCTCTTACGACAAGCATAGTCACCTTTTACGGGAAACATGGGTTTGCTGAAGGCTTATTCTCTACCCGGATCTTCAGGGGTCGTCAGAGGATAAATGGAGATCAAGCACCTATATTGGGAAGGGAGGGTATGAGTTCCGAGAGCATTGTGACCAGCATAGGTCAACGTCAAGCTGCCGAGGAATGTTTTCGTTGGCGAAATACTTGAGTAAAAGCTATATCTGTGATTTTGATTAATGGAGTTTAATGAAACGTTTAATTAGAGTCGGATCAAGGAACAATACCCAAGTCATGAAGTGAATTGGCCGATGGCATTCATCTGTATCCATGAACACTGAGGTTTGTATTACCTGGACACAAGGAGGGGAGATTGAGAGGTGGGATACAGACAGACCAAGAATCCTACTGGGGTAAATCTGGGATTTGGGAATTTTGGGATCTCGTAAGTTGATGGATAAGTTAGTGACTGGTGATTTTTCACCGATTGTAGCAAGATTTCAAACAACAGAATGTGGCGGGTCAAGCGAACACTAACCACAGGGCTACCTCAGGGCCCGATAAGCCGATAAAGTGTATGTTATAAGAGATGCCTTTAACTTAACAACAAAACAAACCGTAACTTCTATACAACAAGCGAAATCGTAGTTCCAGTTCCACATTAACAGATTAAAACAGGGTTACCTCTCAGACACTCCGCACCCCCCGGGCTGGGCTTGTAGCCGACGTTACAGATGCATACTTCATTACGACAACCGAACTTTTTACACAAAGCGTTAGCGGGACAACCACCCGGCTCGTCCAGACAGCTGTCCAGGATACTCAGCCCTGTAAAGACAATGGTGAAGGGTTGATGCCAACAACGGATTAATGAATGTGATGCGATTGTGCAACTGAATGAAACCATGGCCCCACATTCTGCCCGATGATGTATCTTTCTACGGCAGCTAGATCTACTCTAATTCCAACATAATATGATAGGTCAATTTGCTTATTGATCGTATAACTGAAAGCAGAGAAAGGGGTATGCGTCCATTGCTTACCCTTTTCGCGGACACCTAGTGTCATCACTGGTTTTCAGAGGTACATTCATATAAGTTTCACAATTTTGTCCTTTACGCCCAAAGGAATCTATTTCGGTCGATACTATAGATCGGTTATTCTCTTGCATTAACATTTTATATTTAAATATTGAAAAGTCCCAAAGAATTTGACCCGTTTGTAGCCTTGGTGATGAAGACGAATTTCATTTTATGTTTATTTGCCCACTTTGTAAATAAATAAATCATTTTTATGTATACCTACTGATAACTATGTATGTCTGCTGTCAAACAAAAACTACAACTTACAACATCAATTCCCCTTTGCATTTGTCATGTTTTTATATTCCGCTAGTTGTCTCGATATTTATACAACAAAATGTGTTAATATAACTGTATGTCTATGTAACTCACTTGTACATGGGTCATTATACATTAAAATACTAAAATATTATTTGTCATGTAGCCTGCTCATGTAGCCTGCTGAGAAGTCAGTCGGAACACACCTTAGGTAACTTCCTTATCTCGCATTACAATGGTTGAGCTGAAATGAACCGATGTTTATTCGAATGCATTGTGTAAAGGGAAGTAATTCAGACTGCGTCGTCTGCTAGCTGTCAAAATGACTGAATCAAAGCATTTACTCGGTGAAACGGTCTGTATGAATAAATGTCGGTGACGGCACACGTACTGGGTACAGCTCACCATACATGTATACCCCTCGGGGTCGCTGGACAACTTATAACGGCCTTTGAATTGAGTACCACAGCTGCCTACCTTGACACAGCGCCAAAGATGCGGTGATGATGATCAGGAGGCTGGTGCCCATCGTGAAACCTGCAACATGCACAACAGAAGCCTTGGCTACGTGGAAGTAGAGGTATGAGAAGTTGCCGCAGCGTAAGCCTAAGTTGCAGTATTCGTATTGGTAGCGTTACTAGTTATACAAACAGCAGTCTTAGCCGCGACTGTCGTTAGCCAATGTAACAGAAGCGAGATACGAGGCTTTTGTTTAGGAACTTCGTCGGTTTATGAAGAAGAAGAAGAAGAAAATTATTTTATTTACGTGTCGCACACTGTACAACAATGACAATAAAAATACACAAATAGTGTGTACAGTGTCCGGCCTTTATGGCCTACGAGACACGCAGGACGTCACATACATATGAGTAAAAATGAGAAATATCACAGTACATACATATACATAAAAATGGGTTATCACCAGTGCAAGGTCAAAAGTTGAAAGGAGAACATTCTGATACTAAGAAATAAAAAACATTGAACTAAGTTGGTAGAGACGAAAGACACAGTTGTCTTCGCTGATACATGTGATGAAGAAGCGCGGCTAGGGGTCTAACCACCCTATTGTTCCGCATAAAGAACAAGTCTGATCGGCAGCGGACATCTGTATAAAGTTTGGAGTTGATTGAGAAGCTAAATTCCATAAATCATAGCGTAAATCTGTATAGAGAGAACATTCAGCAAAAAAGTGTATTTCATCCTCAACAGCATTGCAATTAAAGAACTTACACATACCTTCAATAAGCGGTGTTTTGGGGCGGATGAATCTTCCCAATTAAATTTCAAATGGCAGTGAGCCGCAGCGAAACTTACTTAATATACTGCGCTGACATCTGTTCATCAATAAACTGACATAGGGTTCTACTGATAAAGAATCTTTAAACAATCTGTATGTACGTAACTTATTACCATTTACCTGGCCCGTATCGTTCCAGGGCCCATGTAACCAATCAGAATGGTCTAAGGATAACAGACATACTTTAGACAAGTTAAACTCTTCAGTAGAAATATTATTTAGATCATAAATTGGTAAATGTAAACTGAGAAAGTAGTTGAAAACTGTATTATTCCAGGATCTACGGAATTTTACTGACCATCTGCAAATAATACTCAGCATTCGGGATTGATCTGCAGCATGCACAAACTGGCACAAACTTCTTGACGTGCGAAAGGGAGATTTGTCAACTTGATACAAATGATGAACTACCAAATCACGTGTTAACTCAGATTACCTTGCCCCTTGTTTAATAAACTATTACCCTAAGTTCCGAGTCTGCGTGTAAGGCTGAACTGCCTCCTGATCCAAAGGTGGTTGATAACTCTATTTACTAAAGTGTATTTACTGTCCACTTCCAAAGTTGAGAACAGCTAGACATGATCAGCCTACTGAGACGGATCGCGGGGATAGCGGCAAACCGCGAGGCACGAAATGACACCACCTGCAATTACTGACGGGTTACATGCTATTTTCAATTGCAAAGCCATCAGTCTCTTTAGAAATAGGAACATAGTTTAGAAATACATCTAGTTTCGAAAGTTCTGTGAACAGAAAAACAAGTCGTGTCTTCTACAGGTGATGTGAACAACGTGTGTTCATGTCGACATTGCAGAGTTTGGTTTAACGTGGATACCATGTCATGTTATCCCGATTGTAAACATTGTTCAGTAGTCTGTGAGATACACATTTGCTCCTAGTTTGGTTGGTTAGATAAGTGTAAAATGTCGAAGGATATAATCCTCATTCAGACTGATCCGTTGCAGCAATATGTCTTAGCCATTCCCCAATTTCACTGTCCGTCGTCTGCGTGTTTCTACTTGGTGTCTGTCTGTATGTCTTACTATTGGGTGTCTGTCTGCTTGTCTTACTACTGGGTTTCTGTCTGTATGTCTTACTACTGGGTGTCTGTATGTCTTACTACTGGGTGTCTGTCTGTATGTCCTACTATTGGGTGTCTGTCTCTATGTCTTACTACTGGTAGTCTGTCTGTATGTCTTACTACTGGGTGTCTGTCTATGTCTTTCTACTTGGTGTCTGTCTGTATGTCTTACTACTTGGTGTCTGTCTGTATGTCTTACTACTGGGTGTCTGTCTGTATGTCTCACTACTGGGTGTCTGTCTGTATGTCTTACTACTGGGTGTCTGTCTGTATGTCTTACTACTGGGTGTCTGTATGTCTTACTACTGGGTGTCTGTCTGTATGTCTTACTACTGGTAGTCTGTCTGTATGTCTTACTACTGGGTGTCTGTCTGTATGTCTTACTACTGGGTGTTTGTCTGTATGTCTTACTACTGGTAGTCTGTCTGTATGTCTTACTACTGGGTGTCTGTCTGTATGTCTTACTACTGGGTGTCTGTCTGTATGTCTTACTACTGGGTGTCTGTCTGTATGTCTTTCTACTTGAAGCTCGGCCTCGAGATTACACCATTTACAAGAAGGATTGCATTTCGTGCGGTCAAACTGATTTTGTCCAACCCTGATTAAATAGTTCATGGGCGCACCCCATTCCCTTCTGTAGATCGGTTCGCGTCGGTAAGCGTGTATAATATGTTTGCCGACAATCATATCCCTTCGTTGGCCCTCCGCATTACTGGCGAAGTCAAGAGGCGCATGTCTGCATAAATTTACCCCCCAGGATAAACAAACTTATATGCAAAACACCATACATTAGTGTACGTTATACTGGCAAAACTTGGTCTGCCACGGAGATCCTTTTAGCAGTTGACAAGTGGGGTCACGCCTTTATTTTCTTATGTAGATGGAGATGATATTTACCCATGTCGGAAATATTCCTTAGCATTGTTCATTGTAGGTTCTTGTTTGAGACCACCGACGTAAGTAACACATTTTGTGACGCAATTATTTTACTGTTTACAGATTTTTGTTTTATAATTTGTTCCTTCTATACAGATCATTTGAATCAATTAAGGGGAACTTGAAAATGAGGCGATGATAGGAGATTGTCACGGAGAAGTAATGGACTATCCACCCGTGGACAAGCTTGACAATCTAGCTATAACGTCCTCGGAACGGCTTTTGGGCAGTGGTGTTACCTTTTCGCGAACACCTGGTATCACTATTTGATAGTGATTCATTAATACATGCTCATGATATAGTCGGAATCATACAATCGACTCTGCTTTCGGCAGAAATTTCTTATGAATATAGAAAGGGTTTTGTCGCTTATATTTATACTTAGGGAAATAGTTTTGTCAGTTTTATGAACTTTGATGAAAATATCATAGCAGAAATACTCTTTTACATGTAGAAAATTCCAATTAGATGACAATAAGGAAACTAATTTATGGATGTCAACTTCTTTATTATGAGGAACACAACGTTTCGGAGTATATACTTACTCCTTCATCAGGTGAATAAATGCTATGACACAGAGAACATATATATGTACATGTAAGAATAACAAAAGTACTAAGATAACAAAGGTGGAAACTTAACAAGGGAAGCCAACAGTTAAAAAGCGCTGATAGGTGATTAGCAATGATCAAATTGATAACAATATTTGATATTCTAACATATAAAACTAGAATAAAATGTTATGATTGTGTTTGGCTAGAGCAGTAGGATATACCTTACCTTACCTCCCTCAGTGTCTATAGTGCGGGTAGCGATGGGTGTCGGCCGGCTGATGCGGGTATAAAGTGAACGAAGGGCGTGAGGAAAGTACTATATTGTGTCCGTGCCGCGCCCATCTTCGGGTAGGATGTTTGTACAATGTGCAGGGGACATAGGTTAGCACTGCAACCACAATCAAAGAGATAATATTTGCCTCACGCCCTATTTTCATTGACAAAGGTCTTTTCTATCGCATTTTTTAGCACAATACATCGTCATCATGCTTTGTCAACACCAGATGGACACAGACATACAGCTGGGTTTCAGGGATTTATTTTTAGAGTACTATAAAACTGGACGTACGGTAGAATTTATTTCCATGGTTGTCAATGATGGGCTCCTATCACCTTGACCACCTTGTCTGTCCCATGACGACGGCTATAAACTCATGCATTAGCAATAACTTTGCTATGTCGGATTCTTTATCAATTGAATAACATTTTTACCCAAGAATTCCTGACGAATCTGTTTATGAATTTCAGAAATAACTTTTCGTATTGTTTATTTGTTGTTTAACGCCGCACTCAGCAATATTCTAGCTGTATGACGGCGGGCTGTAAATAATAGAGTCTGGACCAGACAATCCAGTCATTGAGATCATGAGCATCGATCCACGCAATTGGGATACGATGACATGCATCCACCAAGTCAGCGAACTTGACCACCCGATCCAGTTAGTCACGACAAGCATAGTTGCCTCTTACGACAAGCATAGTCGCCATTTACGGGAAGCACGGGTTTCTTTTAATAGTACAGGATGATAAAGGTATAGTAACACTTGTAAATTCTTGTTCACTTTTGTTGGTAGACGGATGACGGAATGTACACTCGGTCACTGCTTCAAGACATACGTTTATTGTATTTTGTTTTCACACATCATCTTTTTTCAAGACAAAATGAACAATATGTAACAGTATGTTACAATGATGTAACAATATGAACAATATGTGACAATATGAACAGTATCTAACAATATGTAACAATAATGTAACAATAAGAACGAAATGTAACAAATTTCGAGAAAAGTTATTTTTTCAATTCTTTATTTCTGTACTTAAGGCCATTGGCTTTGTACAAGAATAATATAACATAACAGCAGTGAGAGATCAGGTGGGTACACGTATACGATGTTAATAATCATTATATACTGATTGCTTTCACATAGGAAAGCATGAATATATGTTAAATCATTCACGAAATTTAGTTGTTCAACACATTAACGCAGTGAATATATGTTAAATTATTCACGAAATTTAGTTGTTCAACACATTAACACTGTGAATATATGTTAAATCATTCACGAAATTTAGTTGTTCAACACATTAACGCAGTGAATATATGTCATATTGTTCACGTAAGTAACTTGTGCAACACATTAACACTGTGAATATATGTTAAATCATTCACGAAATTAACTTGTACAACAAATTGACACTGTGAATATATGTTACATTGTTGAGGTAATTAGGTTGTACAACACATTGACACTGTGAATATATGTTACATTTTTACGTGATTGGGTGGTACAGCACGTTCACACTGTGAACATATGTTAAATTAATCATGTAATTAATTCGTACAACACATTGACACGGTTACATTGTTGGGGTAATTAAGTTGTACAATACTTTAACACTATGAATCTATGTTACGTTGTTTACATTGTACAACTCATTAAAGTGTTGAACTTTCATAAACTGACGTGTACGATGGTATCAATTTACTAACAGTACTTACTTAAAGTGAAAAATTAATAGATACAGACACTTCGTGTGATAATGCAGTAAAGAAACCATGATCATAACGATTACTGTATTTGTAGCTTTGTCAGCACCATACCCGTGCTCGTGGGTTTCACCAAAGTGGTAAACGTCTGAGACCTGCATCACTTCGTGCTTTCCTCCCACATTAAGCTGGGACGCCGCGATATAACTGGAATACTGTTCAAAGCGGAGTTAAGCCCAACTCACCCACTCACCGAACATAGATGCAAATCGGATCTGGTACTGATAACACAAAAATTAATATTCCAAATGATATTCATCTCTTAAAAATACAATATGTCACCGTATCCCAATTGCGTGGATCGATGCTCATGATGTCAGTCACTGGATTGTCTGGTGCAAACTCGATTATTTACAGCCCGCCGTCGAATAGCAGGAATATTGCCGAGTGCGGCGTTAAACAACAAACAAACGAAATGGAATAAGTTGTGTTTCTATTAGTGTAATTTAACTCTTGGGGATATCTGAAAAAAAATATATCCAACTTCAAACACCCGTGTTTAGAAAAAACAACCATGATCAAACTGTTATAAAAAGTCCCTTTGTTCGTGATAAGTATCTTAACGGATACGTCTCTCACGCCTTTTCAACACATCAATTGTTGCAGGTACCTGATAGTAAATGTGTCCCGACTTTGATGAAATCGGCCTTCACGTCGTGGCGTCATATCCCGGTTAAAGAAGATGGAGAAAGTCGACATCACAATGAAGAAACAAATATCGTGTCATACGGGAACATTGTGTTGTTTGAAGAAACTCCAGCGTGCCTCTGGGTACTGTAAACCGCTATTGTATGTATGTGTTTACTGTGGAGGGCGGGGCACTGACAAAGGCTTATCTTCATTGACCACGTCACGAATTTAAGTGTCGTAGTACCACAGCAACACGGGGAACCGTATTCTTGTAAGTTTTTATATTCATGGACAGGTTCCTGGAATGTGTTTTTCTTCACATGTGATGAAATAAAACATTGGTTGTGATGTGCGTCGTGATCTTCCTGATACACGACACCATGAAGTGATTGACAGGGCTACTGGGTCAAGCCGCAGACCCGTAGGGGCGGGGGAAATACATTATTGTAGGTGAGTGGAAGCGAGGAGGGGGGAAGGGAGGGGGGGAGGGGGGGGGGGGGGGGGGGGGAGGGTGTGTGTGTGTGTGTGTGTGTGTGCATGGGCTGGGATTTTATTGTAAGAATAACAAATTGTGTAAGATGGTGCGTTAGAAAAATATAAATTATGCTTCAGATTGTTTGAAGAAAGAAATTGTCTGCCACAAAAGGTATATTGTTTATATATATATATATATATTATAAACAATATACCTAGACTCATAGTTTTAAATATGAAAGATACACTTGGTTTTGATTTGGCAGATCCAGTTGAAAAAAATATCTACTCTCCATACAAAACCCAACTGCGTGTGAGGCTGTTTGACATTTTATTAAAAAAGTGCTTGTGTTTGGGAGGTTTTCGTCATTTATTCAAATTGTGTCTGTGTGGATGTTCGATATTGTTTTGAAACAGTGTTTGTGAGGCTGTTTGACATTTATTCAAACCGTGTTTATGTGATGGTTTAATATTATATTAAAAAAATATGTTTGTAAAGTTTTTGGCATTTATAAATCAAACTGGACCTGACGCTGTTCGACATTTTATTCAAACAGTGCTTGGTTGTTCTTCAGCATTAATTCAAACAGTGCTTGTGTGGTTGTTCAACATTTATTCAAATAGTGATTGTGACTTTGTTCAACATTAATTCAAACAGTGCTTGTGTGGTTGTTCAACATTTATTCAAACAGTGATTGTGACTTTGTTCAACATTTATTCAAACAGTGCTTGTGTGGTTGTTCAACATGTATCCAAACAGTGATTGTGTGGTTGATCAGCTTCTATTCAAACAGTGCTTGTGCAACAATCGCAGTTCAACGACACCTCAAATTCACTTTACATCATAATTACATTTGTTCAATACAGAAAGTCATGGTCGCACCAATTCTGAACTCTTTGAGGGAACCTGGAATTATGTTTGCGAACAAATACATATATTGCCAAATAAAAATAGTGTCCTCCGACCCCGACAAGGCATTGTGTGTTTACATATTCCTATTTTAAACAAAAACTGTAAAAGTATAAGATGAAACAGTCAAAACAAAATAACATAACGCTATTTACAGCAGTACGGGACATGGCGATGAAGTCATATACCAGACCAATGTTACCCCTCCAGGCACAGATAAGGTGTTAGAGGATTATACAACGTCACGTCGTTAATGGAGGCGGAGATTAAACCAATACACACAATTATCAGCACATCAGCAGCATCTCTGATGCAGCATATCAGTGCGTTTATCCTGATAAGGAAATAGCCTGGAGTCAATCAACAGAATGACCTGTGCAGGTCAATTGTCGGTCGTCAAACCTGCATCTTCACCCAGAGAGGGGGGCGGCCACGATACTTATCCTCATTGGTAAGGCATATTCAAAGTTTTTTACTACTATTTTAACTATTGTAACATCTTTGATATATTGTTAAATAGCTCCATGAAAAGGGAATGAGTGTATGTTCTGGGGCTGCATAGTTGGCAGTTCCGCCCCCGTGTTGACACATGTAGCAATATATTGCAATAATCTTGGTAAAGAAAACGTTTTGGCTTACATACTTTATAAGTACCATGTTCATTTATTTAAAAAAAGGACATACAACAGTCTTCATCATTGCTGAGTCGGGCGGTCGGGTAGCCTAGTGGTTAAAACGTTCGCTCGTCACGCCGAAGACCCGGGTTCGATTCCCGACATGGGTACAAGTTGTGAAGACCATTTCTGGTGTCCCAATCCGTGTTATTTGCTGGAATATTGCTAAAAGCGGCGTAAAACCGTACTCACTCACTCACTCATCAGTCAGCTAAACGGAGAAGGTAAATGAAGGCATACACTTGAAAATTGGATTTGATCACAACATTCACCGAAACACTGAGAACTTAAGTTCCAACACATTACTACGATACAGTTATTGTATCAAATACATAACCATCGATCCATTTCGTGTTTCACTTTAAGCCACCATCAAACATCAGCGGTTTTTTTCTTTTGTCTGGCGGTTTAGTTACTCGCTCTACTTTCAGATATAATATTAGAGTTTGTCCCTGGAAGCGCAGTTAACATGTATGTATTATTAAAATCTAAATAACCTTTTGATGATGTAGATAGTAGATCCTTTGTCCTCCTTACAATGCTCGCATATTTCGACACAGACATAGATCAAAGTGCATTAGCTTGCGATGTACGAAGTCTCCTACTACTACTACTACTACTACTACTACTGCTGCTGCTGCTACTGCTGCTGCTGCTACTACTACTAAATTGTTATTTGTAAGAAAATTTTGCTCAAAAGGCGAACTCCATTATTACCCCAGCAATGGATCAGTGTGCACTCGATTTACGTTCTCAATCCAAGCTGCCTAAGAGGTCGCTAGAAGGTTAACTCATTAGGGAGAACCATTTTCTTGACACGGACAGGTACCGTGACCTTGACCTTCAGTCATACTGTGTACGGTGTCCTTGCTAATGCAGGACCGCATCGCGAACACTTTGTGTCACCATTGCATCCCTACAGGGATTCGTAGGTGAAGGTTCTTGAGAAATGTGACAACTTTAAAAAACTCGATGTCTTTTGTCAGCTATGTACTTTTGTGAACAGGTGTCTCATGTTGATGAAAACCATATAATTTAATCATTGCGTAAATATGTATAAACATTCGGGGTTGTAATCTGCCCTTGATAAGAAGACACGGGTGTTTAAAATCTGAGAATGCGCCAAAAGCCGAAGAGATACTGGTTACTCTTACGCATTAATAAAAAACCAAATACATAACAATGTAACATTTCCTTTGCTGAAACAAACCAACACACGGCATTTGGAGTTTTTCAGTTCAGGTGAAACTGAGCCAAATCCAACCTGCAGGTATTGTATTTGTGATGAACGAGCGGTGTATAACTGAGTGTCAGACGTTATGATAACCATTGTTGATTGACAGATTTCAAACATGCTGCGTTTGTGGATGGTGTTCTGCTTTCTCGCTGTGATGTCAGCAAAAGTTACATTTTCTCAAAGTAAGTATATATTTTTTTATTGAAACAGCGAGAAAAAAAATAACGTCTGGATTAGAAACCAAAATAAGACTTCAGACTGATATTTGTGAAAAGGTACTACTATTAGCCCGTGGGTGTGCATGCTTCGAACTCCACGTGATCTCAGATATGCCAGAGGGCACAAGTTGTCGAGACGCCCCTATTCGTTGTGCATAGTTGCCTCCCTTAGGTGGGTCAGAAACCTGTGATCGTGCGTTCGCATCCCGGTTCGCCCTGATTATGTTTCTAGGTTTCTCAGCACCATAGCTGTGCTCGTGGGTTTCACCAAAGTGGTAACGTCTAAGACCTGCATCACTTCCGGCTTTCCTCCCCAATCAAGATTGTGCGCCGTGATATAACTGTAATACTGTTCAAAGCGGTGTTAAACAACGTTCACTCTCAATCACTTACACTCATTCCTCTATTCCTAATACTACGTGTGGGGGGCACGGGTGGCCCAGTCGTCTAAGGCGCCGCGATTCGCTTTGCAGAGTTGCGTCCCTTGAGCACGCCAGAAACCTATGATTGTGGGTTCGAATCCCGGTTCGCCCCGATTATGTTTCTAGGTTTGTCAGCACCATAACGGTGCTCGTGGGTTTCACCGAAGTGGTAAACGTCTAAGACCTGCATCACTTCGGGCTTTTCTCCCACATTAAGCTGACACGCCGTGATATGACTGGAATAATGTTAAAAGCGGCGTTAAACCCAACTCACTCACTCACTAATACTACGTGTGACACCTAGGATAATGGTAATACTATACACTACGAACGTTTCCTGTTCGATTCCGACATAGGTACATCGGTACCAATTATTTGTGTCCATCCCCTTGACAATGCTCTAATATTGATAACTGCTGCAGCATGCGGTGGCTTCTCCGACATCATCTTCCTCATAGACGACTCCGACAGCACCAAACGTAACAACCCCGCCGACAAAGATACCGTGACGTACGCCCAGGGCGTCACCTCCTTCGTCCAACACTTCATCGACAACACTAACCTCTTCAACATCCGCATCGCTGTTATCGCCTTCAGCAAAACGACACGCGTCATCGCCGACTTCACATCCAACACCACCATCCTCACCAACGCCCTCACCTCTTTCCAGCCAGAATATAGGGGGTCCGACAGCGTCGAGGGGATGAAGTTAGTTAAGACCATGTTCAGATCCTCTGGACGCATGGGAGCGAGGCATCTGGCCGTCCTTGTTACAGACGGGTCGACCATCAACCCCAATCTTGCCGGGGATTACGCTCAGCGATGTCAAGATGCTGGGATCGAGATAACCTCTGTTGCTTTTGGTGACGCCATAACCTTGCAGGAGTTGATGCTGTACTCAAATCAAAGTGAACGTACTTTCAAGGTCATGAACGACACGGAGCTATCAACCCTGATACCAAACGTCACGGATATCGTTTGCCTAGGTAAGGGTATAATGTTTCTTTGTTTGTTTGTAGTTTTACGTCGCAGATATGCTAGCTATACCACGACGGTCTGTAAATAATCGGGCCACACAAACAATTGGTCACGGGTTACGATGGGACACGTTCGACCAATAAACCAAGCTTGATCCCCGCTCCTTGATCGCCAGCTTAGTCACCCCTTACGACCAACATGGGGCACTTGGGAATATTTTATAGGAGGATAGTGTTAAGTTCTTTATATTTATAAGGAATGACCACAGCTAAAGAGGGGCACGTAGGCCCAGTCGTCTAAGGCGCCGAAATTCGCTGTGCAGAGTTGCGTCCCTTGGGCACGCGAGAAACCTTTGATTGTGGGTTCGAATCCCGGTTCATCCTGATAAGTTTCTAGGTTTGTCAGCTTCGTACCCGTGCTCGTGGGTTTCACCAAAGTGGTAAACGTCTGAAACCTGCATTATTTCGGACTTTCCTCCCACATGAAACTGACAGGCCGTGATATCAGTGGATTAATGTTAAAAGCGGCTTTAGCCCAACTCACTCACTCATTCGGTAGGTCAAACTGACTACAGTACTGAGTGACTTTTGAAGGTAGGGTTAATTCTGACCTTTGTCCTTACTGATTCGGCAATCAACATACGAACCATTATGGAGACTTCTGCTACACAGTATTGATATTGCTGACTATGGCGTGAGTTGATTTTGGGATGTCAAGCGCTTGGGTTGGGTTAGATTTGGAAATCTATTTGTGCCTTTTTCATCTCTGATATGTATATTTATGAATATGTTTTGTTTGAGTAGACCCATGCAAAGCACCAATGTCTGCAAGTGAACCTGGCTTATATCGGTATCCGGGAAACTGCGCCAAGTTTTTACAAGTTGCTCCTTTCAATCGAACCGACCTTGTTTGCGTGCCCAAGGATTGTTCCTACACCACCATGTGGAATGACCGGTTGAAGATCTGCGACTTCCCAGCCTCCGCCACCTGTGGTCAGTATCTCAAACAAGGGCAGATAATCCACTTTTTCAGAATTGTCAAATCAGTTTGGTCAAATACCACTAAAATGTGTTCACAAAAGGGGTCTCAAGAATCAACTAGCCGAATCTGAAAGATATATATTATCCCTCCATATATAAATGCACCTATGAGAAGGCCACTTCTATATAAAGTTTATTTCCCCACCCCAGTGTAACTACATCCTAATCTTCTCAAATGTATAACCGCTTCCTCATACCTGTGAGTGAGTGAGTTAAAATTTAACGTCGCATCGGCATTATTCAGCCATATAGCGACCCTCATACCTGTATATATACTTGTCAGTCACACAAAGTACATCACTTGCTTGATAACGCTGTAAGGGTCTACACCAAAACGTCGCTTCTTATTGAATAAAGAAGTTGTTCATCCATATATCTTATCCTTAGTTTATTTCGTGCTTTTTAACAATCTTTATCAATGTTATTTTTTTATCATATTCCGTGTCGTTAATCTTGAAAAACAATTACAGTAAACTATATAACGAACTCGAAGGGGCCACTAATTTTAGTTCGTAATAACCGTAGTTCGTTATAAGCATATATACAGCATTTATACAACAAATGGTCGGGACTAAAAAAGTTCATTATATCGGTCAGTTCGTTATAAGCGTGTTCGTTATGAACATAGTTTACTGTACATATATTAATGAAGTCAAATGGCTATGAAGAGCTAACTTGAAGAACATTTTTACTGACTCGTTATAACGTTCATGCATTCATATCCACTATTTCTGTTCAGATCCGTGTAGAAGCCAGGCAGATGGTCGTCAAGCTTCCTATCACCTCTACTGCAACTCCTACTGGGAATGTCAAGGGGGCGTGTCCCAGCCACGCTGTTGTGGGTCGGGGAAGAAATATGTGGAGGGGTCGGGATGCGTGGCGGCAGGGATGGGCGAATGCCAGAATCCATGTCCCATGTAAATATGGTACTATATAGATGATCATGGTAGGTTTTTTGTTGAAATGACCGGTGTTAAAGTTGACGTGATGTTGCTGAGCAACGGAAGACTTCATGTTCGCAAGACACTGTGTGGTGAATAAAGACTATATACAACCGTATGTGTTATATTGTTTCAGAGTGTGCGATTCGAACCATTCTTGAATATTTTTCTGCAATTCGCTCCATACATTAAACCTTCAGTGACCGGCCGAATGATACATGTCTGCGGGTGGGGGACACATCAGTACTTAAATACAAAGATCTTGGCTTAAACAATATCATGTGTCTCCCGAGACATTACTCTTTAAATAAATCCGTGAAGATCCGGGGTAGAATAAGTCTTAAGCAACCCATGCTTGTCGTAAAAGGCGACTATGCTTGTCGTAAAAGGCGACTAACGGGATCGGGTGGTCAAGCTCGCTGACTTGGTTGATGCATGTCATCGTATCCTAATTGCGTGGATCTATGCTCATGATGTCAACCACTGGATTGTGTTTCCTAGACTGGATTATTTACAGACCGCCGTCATATAGCTGGAATATTGCGGCGTTAAACAACAACAAAAAAAAAGACATATTTTGTAGGCCAATCAGAACTCACGTTGCTATTCAGAACTCGCTGTGTTAATACACGCGAGTAGCATTTCCGTGCACAGTAGTACAGTTCTGTGAGTGAGTGAGTATGGTTTTTAATCCGCTTTAGGCAATGTTCCAGCAATATCACGTCGGGGGACACCAGAAATGAACTTCACACAATGTACCCATGTGGGGAATCGAACCCGTGTCTTCAGCGCGACGAGCGAACGCTTTAACCACTAGGCTACCCCATCGCCCCATATTGTTCCAGAGGCTAGCCGACAGGCATATTTTTTTTAAAAAATGAGGAGGGAGGTAGGACTATTTTTTTGTTTTTTTATCAAGAAAAATGGTAACGAGGGAGGATCACTCTATATTTCACAAAATTATAAACATGTTTTCACATTGTCACTGTTTTCATAATGTCACTGGTATAGCTATTAAAGCATATCAGCACAACATATCTTGCTCCGATCAACGGCTCTTCTGGTGTAATGAAAGCATAGTCGTAGGCGCCTCACAACAGCATTTGTGTCGTCATAGTGCCTGTTATGTATATTCAACATGTAACATTATATTTCATTATATTTATTTCAAAAACTGCTTGACAGGATATTTCAGCTAATATTGATGCAAGGCAGGATACCTCAATACTCAGCTCACGTCCAAAAGAAACTTTACCAACTGAAAGTATAAATTTCTTTTCGATGAAGTCTATATAAAACATATAACCTAAATACAACAATAGTGTATGCAGAAAATGTTAATCGTCTGTTACATGTTTGCGAGATAACACGCGATAAAGTGAAAAACACGTGCACCACGGACAACAGCAAATGCACGTGCGGGTAAGGGTATAAAACGATTGCAACGGCAAGTCAGACATCCACAGTGATATAAAAAACACAAAAGAAATGCCACGACTCTCAGTCGAACAACGTAAACGAGCCTTGGGTATGGTACAGATGGGAGCCACCCACGCCCATATTGCACGAACGTTCGGTTGCTCCCGTGTTGCCGTTACCAACTTGGTGCAACGTTACAGACAGACAGGGCGGACCGCTGACAGGCCAAGAACAGGCAGACCCAGGGTGACCACGCCCCATGATGACCGGTACTTGCGTACCTTGAACCTCTGAAATCGCTTCCTGACAGTGACGTCATCGGCGACAAATGTCTTAGGTCACAGGGTTAGTCGACAGACAGTGGCCAAGAGACTCATGGCTCATGGAATCAGGGCTTTTAGACCATACAGAGGGCAGCTATTGACAGCGCAACATCGTCGTCTGCGATTGAGATGGGCCCGGACTGTACGACGTTGGCAACGACGTGACTGGCAGAGGGTTGTCTTCACTGACGAAAGTCGATTCTGTATGTTTAGGGCTGATGGAAGAAAACGTGTTTACCGCCGGAGGGGTGAACGAACGGCGGCGTGTTGCGTGCAAGAGGTCGTACCATATGGTGGAGGGAGTGTCATGGTGTGGGGAGGGATCTGTGGGCAGGAGAGGACACCGCTGGTCATCGTTGACGGAAACTTGACAGCTCAGCGTTACATGGATAACATTCTTCGTCCAGTTGTCCTACCCTTTCTCCAACAGCAGCCACGTTGTGTCATTTATCAGCATGACAACGCTAGAGCCAGTACAGCCAAAATTGTCACTAACGTCCTCGCAGCCAACAACGTCAACGTTGATGGATCGTCGTGTTCGACAACGGCCACACTCTCCAGCCAACCGGCAAGAACTGATCTTGGCCCTCAAAGAAGAATGGAGTCAAATCCCACGTGACCTCATCAGACGACTGACTTTTTCTGTGCGTCAAAGAGTTTTTGCGTGTATTGAGGCATTTGGTGGTCACACACGCTACTAATGACTTGTTATTGAACGTGAGCGATTGTTTATGTACTCTGCCTATTGTCCATGATTCTGAAAGCTCGAGTTTGTACCACACCGAACTTTGGGGGGCTCTGACGTCATTCTCGGTCGCGGTATGATTGTCATTTTCAGTGTTGATTATGTTGATATATTGATCTTCTCAATACACTTTACTTCATGCATGTATGTTTGTAGTTTTTGAGCAAGAGTGATTTCAAACTCTGGTAAAGTTTCTTTTGGACGTCAGTTTATAATTTTGTTTGTTAGTTGTTTAACGCTGCAGTCAGCAATATTCCAGCTATATGAAAATGTATCCAGCTGTCTGTAAATAATCGAGTCTGGACCACACAATCCAGTGATCATAAGCATCGATCTACGCCATTGGGATACAATGACACCCTTCAACCAACTCGTTAGTCGCCTCTTACGACAAGCATGGGTTGCTGAAGACCAATTCTAACCCGACCTGTATATGAGTGAAAATCTCAATTCTTGAGAGTCTCAACCAAATGCTTGTGGTTTCTTGGGGTGTTGTAGATATTGACCTGCATGAAGATGTCTGGTAGGCGACACGCCCTATCATTAACATGTTGTCTGTGTGGATAAAGTTTGACAGTATGTCAGTCATAGCCTTTCAAAGTGAAGACCAACAGTTTCTATAACTGATTTGTGCCAACCAAAATTGCAGGTTTGCAGAAATTGTCATAATGGAGTGTTTTCTGAATATCTTTACGACCAACTGAATTTTGACTGGTGTTGCTAACCACCAGGTACCTAAATGCACATTGCTTGGAACTTCTTTCACGTGAATAGCTCCACGCACTGACTTTGACATTGCTTTTAATATACGCACCAAGACAAAACACGCAATGTGTAGAGCACGACGAAAACTCGCTTAACCATATTAGGAATGTAGCGCTGGCGAATGAATGGCAGAGTTACTCGATAATAAAGGGGTAATTTGAACAAAAGATATTTTTTTAAATCGTAATAAAAACAACATATGCGCAGGATTTGGAATGACGCGCCGACGCCTGAGAAACATTTCGTCCTTACAAGTATTGTTCTATGTCTTCCTCCTCAGGGATCGCCTCGTTGTTGACACAGATAAGCGTGCGTCCACTCCGGCTGCGGATCTGTATCTCTCCACTTATGCATTTGTTCCGCTCCTGATGAAGAAGAAGAAGAAGAAGAAGATTTTATTAACGTCTCACTTGTATACCACATTTTTGTTAAAACAAATTAAAAATATAGTTACATTAAAGTTGTATACAACCAATCGCACAGCGATTTATGAGAGACGGTACATTGTAAAGAGGCACATAGTAAAAAAAGCAAAAACTAAATATTAAAATATACATACATTAATATACAATACAATGTTTAAGACTCAATGATATAAAATATTTCTCCGGGTATATAAAATGGCATGGCAGGTTCTGGCACAGTAAAAGGTGAGGTCATCAGTTGATAGAATCCTAATATATTTATCTTGCTCTGTCAAAGAAGTAAAATCTATCCATAAGCTTTTGCACTTGTTGATGAGGCTTAAACTCTCCTGATAAAAGAAGAGTGAGTGGGTGAGTGAGTGAGCTGAGCAAAACCCGATCGGGGTTGTATTCAAGTTATATCACGGCGTGTCAGATTGATGTTGGTGGAAAGTCCGAAATGATGCAGGTCTCACTCTGGGGAAACCCATGAGCACGTTGGTATGGTGCTGACAAACCTAGAAACATTATCTCGTGTGTGTGTGTGTGTGTGTGTGTGTGTGTGTGTGTGTGTGGAATATAGCATTAACGGGTTTTTTTCAGAATCGTACCTCTGTTAGTCTTTGATCAACCCCCAAAATACAACCCCAGTCGGGAGTCCTCGGGAGTTAGAATCGCTGAGAAAATGGCGGCGCCGAGCTAAGACGATCTGATCGATAACCAAGATCTGTATTGTGATAAAACGAATCTTACATCGCGAAGTGCATTAAATCACGTGAGCACCTTCATTAAAAACATGAAAAGATTTAGAAAATATCTGTTCACAACGAGTTAGAGGTACACATACTTTGCAAATCCTGCAATCGACCGAAATCTGCATGGCAGTTTACGAACCGGATTTCGATTTCGTTGCGCGATTTTAATTGAACTATGCATAGACTCGTTAGTCCAGCCAAATTGTAACTCCATAATACCAGCCTAGTTCGGCAAGAGTGGAAACTGGACTTTTGTAGTCAGTTAACTCACTTGCCTCGGGAAGATGACCCCACTTTACCTAGTATTGGCACAGCAAACAGCAAGATCGTTGTAGAGGGCATGGATGAGTATTGTCAGAATCCTTGATCGTAGAATCAAATGCCAGGTTCACCCTGATTCACAATTCCCTGCCTGTCAGGACCGCATCCGTGGTCTAGTGGTAGAGCGTCCGCCAGGAGAGTGGAAGGTCTGGGGTTCGATCCCCTCACGTGATACCAAAAGACGTTAAAAGAAGGTACTTGTTGTTACCCTTTCTGGCGCTCGACATTAAGGGTCTAAAACAAGGACTGGTCAGCTCAGAGTTAGTATACTGTGTCTGAGTGGGGTATTCATGTTAAACTGCGGCATGGTATCTTATTGTGCTTGCACTATATATCGGCATCAGTCCGGACTAGTTCAAGCCGCCACACACACACACTCACA